GCTCCCTCCAGTCTTATATATTGCTCTGGATCTTCATAAATTTAGTGGTTCCTTCGTTACGCGCCTGGATCTTCTTTACCCAGAACTTGACTTGTTCGCTGGTTTCTTCTGTTGTCAAAGGACCGATGTTCTTGTTCTCGCGACCGTCTTTCACATTGTCCACGAATCGTTTTGCTGTTGCTGTAATTCGTGTCGTTTTCCAAAACTCGAATCTCTTAAGAAGCTGATCTAATTCATCTTGCATTGGAACCGTCAGTGAGAACAATTCCTTGGCTGCTTTCGCTTCAACTTGCGTTTCTGTTGTTTCAAGCGTTTTGATGTTCGGAGGCCAGCCGTCTTCGTCGTCAGGACCGTTCAACCAGTCAGGACCGTCCCATCACAGCTTGTCTAATTTGCTTGCGTCACTTCCTCGGCTGGCAAGGTCCGCTGGGTTGTCGCGTGATGTTACGTGTCGCCATTGAGTAGCCTCACTCCTGGATTTTTTTTACTCGCTTTCCCACGAATTGTATCAACTTTCCATTTCCCCTGATCCAGTGTAAGGCCACGGTACTATCCAAATACCTGGCTCACCAGGAATCCTCCCAATGCTTCTTGGACGTTGTCAACGAGGTTGGTTGCCATGTGTGCCGACACGAGCTCCAGGCAGGGTAATGTAAGGTTTTTCTTGGCAAACTGCATGCGTGCCATTACTCAGCTTGTCGGACCACGGCTATCACCGTTGCTCCACTCCTTCACTACTCGCATCACCGAATGTGTATATCTTCAATTGGCTCCCGGAGCTTCGCTATAGACCTCTTGGCGCAGGCACGTTGTCTAGTAGGCTTTTCTCCCACGCCGTCCATCTAGCTTCTAACTCACGAGGCAGTTTGGCGCCCCGTAGAAGAACTTCCCTTGCGGAGTAATGGGCGAAATCCGAGAGGATCATAACTTTCGCAATCTTTCCGAGGACTCCTCGTTTCGACGGACTAGCTAGGTCAGCAGGAAACTCGATTTTGATTTCGTTTTTGTCTTTCTTCCATGTGAGACCAAGTATTGCTGATTGACCTGGCTTTGTGATGAATTGTTGTTTGGCAAATGTCTCGTCTCCCTGCAATTGCGACAACCCCAGCGACCTTAACGATCCTTTCGGATTTGTGGGCTTCGTCTCTTCGATTTCGAGCTCTGCTATGTTGAAGTGTCATTTATGTAAGTGAAACGTAGCATCCCGAAAGATATCAATGGCGTTTTCCTTTAGTTGCTCCACTTTATCAACAGAATCACCTCAACGTACATACTCTTGCTGATTTCTTTCACGACTTTCGGATAATATTGCTGATAATTTGTTAGTTGAATAACGCCCCCAAAGAGGAAATGCGAGGGCGACAACCCAAACAATGCTGTGCCTGTGGTGAATCGAAATGTCACTAACTCTCGATGTTAAATCTTAAAAACCAAGTGAAAACGATCGCATCACGATGTTCTTTTCAGATACGTGCTTGGAGGAATGCTTGTTTGAGGTCGCTAGTGAGGACAACGAGGTGGAAGCGTCAAACTAACACTTGCCAGAGATCGTTCTGTAGAGGGGGTCCTGTTTGGAGACATTCATTCAAGGAAGGTGCTTTCTCCTTTCTCCCTCACGTGCCGAAGCGTCGTAAACGATTCCAAGTTTGGTGGTTTCTGCGGCATTCCCTTCCACGGCAGGTCGGTCTCGTACCAACCCTCGCCGCTGCGCTTTATAAAAATTTAGTTGATCGCCCGTAGCTGAATCTTCAATCCTCACGATGTACTTGAGTCAAAAACATGTTGTTCAGATCAATCTCTTTACCGGGGGACATAATCGTCCAACCAAACTTAGTGAGCTCTGCGACCGGCTCACCGGGAGAACCAAGCTTTGTTGCGGTATGAATTTTCGAATAGTCCCCAGTCCCTAGAATTAGATGGACGAGCAGCCGCTCCTTTTGATCATTGTCGTGCATAATTATGTCTTGCAGGTTAGAATGATTAGCAATAATTTCCGCATATCTTGGATTGTCTAACGGTTAATAGTTCACTCCTTTTCAACACGTGTCACTTCTGTTTTAATGTTGAATTTTTGTTTGTTTCGTTTACCGTGAGATCATAATTTTTTTTATTCTTGTTGCTATGCCAAACATCATTTTAATTCGCCGAGTTTTAATTTACTTTACAGCTTTGATCGTGTCCAAAAGCGCTGACGAAGCGTATGAACTACCTGCCTCTGCATCGATTAAAGCGCAACATTTTATACCATTTACATCAACGATTACATTAGGCTGGGCTGGGGCGGTTTTTAAAAATAACTGATAAACGAATAAAAACCGATAAAACCGACAAACCGCTCTTTTAAAACAAAGACATTTGTTAATCAATCAAAATACGCGGTTAGTTGATTCGATACCGGCGCTTATCCGCCGCAGCGGGTTTTTTCCGATATTTTTGTAATTTCGGGTTTTTTCTTGGTTTTTGATGAAAAACCGATAAACAGATATTTAAAAAACCCCGATTTTTATCAGTTAACCGATAAACCGCCCCAGCCTTGATCACGGCAGGATAAACGACTGGCTTATTAGCATCAATTGCAGTATTGAGCAATCTGTCAATTTCAAAAGGTATATTTTGTATATACGCGTTTACCACTTATGTCACCGTACTTTGTCTTTAAGATATGGCTTCGCGCGTTCGTAGCCTTCTGTTGAGAATGGTAGCCCATCAATATGAGACTTCACTTTTGGATCCACAAGCTCTTTTAAATAGGAGAGCTTGCAGCCTTGTCAATCTCGGCTTCGAATTGGTTTCAAAACCGTAACCAATCTACCGGCGTTCCGTTGAACTTCGATATTATAAGCTTTGGTAACTTCGCGTTCGAACTCTGTATTTTCCCTTGGTTCTTTGCGCAACGTTTCCATCTTCATCTCGTGCTGTGATTGCTGTTTCAATTTTGGTTTATCGTATTCTAACTGTTCTTTGAATAAGTCATGCCGTTCCTTTGCTGCTATTTCGTCGTCTCCCCGTTTCCACTCCTGTGGAGTTTTCCGGCGAAATATCCGCTATTTCGTTGTCCCATGATTCATGATTGAATTTCCTCCTCGTTGTCCTCCTTTTGATTTTTTGTCTGTTGTACTTGGACCTAAAGTTCGCCACTGTAGAGGATTTGAATGTCGTTGAACTTTTGCTGCGACTCTGTTTGCAACGAAAAGTTTGAAAATCCTACTCTGGTTGGATTGATGTGGCCAATACGATGCTTTGTTGGCTTTCCATGAGTTCCAGTCTCGGGATAGTAACTGACTTCAGCCGGGTCTTGGATGCGAACTAATTGTGAGGTGGCTTCGTGACCTTTTTTATCTCTGACACTGCTGCAAAGCTAAGACCAGATGTCCGTGGGTCCTGACAAGCGAAGACGGCGAGGGACTGCAAAACCCGTTTAAGTCGCTCAGCTTCTTTATACCCATGTTCCACTCATTGCCGACAGATCGACTAGCATTTTGCCCTCCCAACCAATTCCAGCTGCCCACGTCTTTTGCAATAATTTTGTATATAGTGAATGGGGCAAAAAACTGCAATCGATCAAACAGTTTTGCTATACTAACTTTGGTCGGGGGTTCGGAAGGTTAACAACGATCTTGCTAAGCATTTCAAACTTGCCAGCAACTCCAAGGGCCTTTAACGTCGAATCCGGAAGACGATCTTCAATGGGAAGATCTTTGATAACAAAGACGTCCAGTTTCTTACATGGAAATATTATGAAGTCTAAACGTCTCCATTGGCAGCACACACTGCTCTAGCTACATGAACGGGTTGACAAGAGATTATCACACAATTTAACCCAGAGGGGCAAAAAGAATTAAATACATAACGATACTAGCTTTTTTTAAACTGATCAATGACTGAAACAATTTCACCGATTTTCAAACTGCAAAGTGGTATCTTGAAAAACCTCATCTATCTGGGGTCAGTTATAAAAAACTCGTTAACTATATTTTGCGTATTTAAATCTTAAATATATTGATGTACATTTATTCAGCCAGATCAAGCGATGGATTTATGACAGGGTCCGAGACATATTTCAGTCTCGCGATAACAACGATGCATGTATTGACGTATTGTAGGTTATACAGTTCATGCCTTACATGTGTTTTCTTTATAGCGTATCTTATGTGTTTTCTTCAAAGCGTATTTTGTGTTTGCCAGATGAGGTAATTTATAAGATATTCCTATGCGAAACGGCTGCTTGTTTAGTCATAACCTATTGGTTGAGTTCTTATCAACACTATGAAATCTATATATATAGAAAACTGATTTGAGTTTATATGGCATCAGAAAAGCATGAATAACTATAAACTTCCAATTTCAGGATACTACTTAATTCTTTCCACGAGAAATGCCCTGATTTAATGCCCCGACTAAACTTCGGGGCCAGTAATAATTAGCCGGTTAAAAGTTTGGTTGATGGGTGTCATTATTAAAAATGACATGGCTCAAAAGCTTGACCAATATCGCCATATATAAAAAACATTGTGGTTTGGCTACGGAATGACGTCGGCTTTTACTTCCGCATAGGCTACTACCGCAGCGGTGGTGAGTTTCCTAAATCTCATAAAAATGTCAAGAATTCAGTTCCTACATGCACAACGTCAAATATAATGATGAAATCTTTTAGACTATTTTGTAAAGTTAGTGCACTTTGTCTTTGTATACGATTATACATTATGTAATTTTAGTATATAGAATTGCCTGCCGTAAACCTCCCACGCTGTCTAGTCTGGAAGTAAAATGTCAAAATTTCTAACCATATATAGAGTGCAAAATTGAGGAACTTTAAACTTTTTTGTACGCGTTTATAATGAGAGTTTATCGCCTCACTCACAGTGACACTAAAAAGGTCAGAGTTGTAAAAAAGCTGCGGGTACGCGGAAGTTTTAAAGTTGAACACTCTAATTGATCACATGCATGTACCAAAAAACCAAATATTTCTTTATGCTGGCTGCCCTTCACTCAGTGACGTAATGCCATTTTGAGGAAGGTTTTCAAAACTTGAAATCCTACCGGAGGAAGGTTGAACCGTTTTTGCAACACTGCAAAAGATGCACTCACACTCACTGCCGTGTAAAAAATAAATTTTGTTATCACTGACCAGCGAGAGAAAGTTCTTTCTTAATCGATGGAAAGATTTAAGATAAAACACTGAAAATATAGCTCTTATTCGAGTGGAGATACTGCTATTAACTGAAAGTTATAAGACGATTGTCATTTCCCACTCAACGAGTTTGAGTGCATGTCAGTGAGCTCTTAGACATGAAGAAATACAGGCATTTAGAAGATTACAGTATTGTGTGACCGGACTGAAGGAAATACACTATCAGCAGGCGCTATCATGAAGAAATTACTTAAATCTTTTCACGCAAATATTGCAGCGTGAGTATATATTTTCTTGACAAGAACTCAATAATAAGTAGATAAAGGAAAAGAAGCAATTACACAGAAATTTGGCGATTCTCTTGGAAATTACTAGCTATTACTATTAACTATTAAGCTACCCACAAAATTAACATTATCTCTTATTTTTGGAAAATTATACACCTGCCGTAACTGTTGACAAACAGAACGATGGTTTTGAAGTTTTAAAAGTTTATAATACATAAAGAAACTTCTAGAGTCGGTGAATGAAACCTTTTCTTACGTTTTCCGTTTTTGGCCGCGGCTGGCGGAAGTTGATCCATTTGACGTAATATCCCACGCACAACACTCGGATTTCACCTTTGTCCTATTTAGCACTCTGGGTGTTGAGGACATGCAATGACATTATATGCATGATTATATGCGCTTTTCAACGTAACTCCAGCTGGTTAAAGAAAAAATGTCGCAGAGCTAAAGATCAAGCTTGATCATGTATTAATAATGATGATCAGAGAATGTAATCTTTTCGCTCTCTGATTGGTCGGGTCGTTATGAAATAAACATGGCGCACACATTTGCATATTTTGAAACAAATGGCGAGCAGGAATATTATTTCCTAGCAGGAAAGAAAACGGAATAATGGTTTCATTAAAAAAGAAATCGTTCGATCTGCCCACGGATGGGACTACAGAATTCTACAATGACTCCACAGATTCAGATTCAGACGAATCGCCGAAATTTTATCGTCACCGAAAGCTTACAGCAGAGCGAATGAAGTCAAAGGTACATGAAGTATATATATATACATTAACGTATGGACGGTAATAATGCAATATAAGCGTATTGAAAGTTGACTGTCAATGATTCCTATTTAGGCGAACATTCAATCTCAACAGTTTCCTTATAAATTTTACTGATTTCTGTCATCACTACAAGTTTATGTCCGATTATAAATATGTATCTGCGAACAAGGGCATATATGAGCAAACGGTGTACAACAAAGATCAACAATGCTGCTTTCAAATGAGAACTTTAACCGGGATCAATTCAATAAGCTGAGGATCAGTATGCTGGACGTATTGGACATATCAGGCCTATTTCGGGCATATTCAGGGATGAGTTATCACGCTCATTGGCCAGTACGATATGTCGCAATACTAAAAGCACTGTGTCTGTGCCATGTTGAATATTTGATAAATGATTTCGTAGTAAATTGTACACATAAATACCAGTATGTTATGTCTAGGGAGTGATTCTACGAGTATGGGTTCATATATAAATTATATAGCCGACATTCGTAGATGCATTTTAACAATCCCACAATTCGCAAGTACCTATTTGTTAATCGTGGAGCCGGTTTATAATAGGGCAAGCAATGGCAATTTTGTTTAATCTTAGTGCTTTTGTACTTTATGAAAAACGGCGTGCATCTTCGGTGTTTTAGGTCAGAGCCTAACCGGATGTAAAGGGAGTATTGGGCTAAATTTAATAGAAAGTGCGTTATCATCATCTTAAAAGTCAGTAAAACTTCCCTTGCTCTTGGCGACACTATATAATGTAGCCATTTCATGCCATTTCAATTTATATTTAATATAACCTTGCTATTGAATAAACATTCACGGGTTCGTATCTCAACCCGATTTTCATGCAGCTATATTTCCAAAATGTTTGAATGCGAACTCGTTGTTTTTTTGCGAAAATTTGGGAATAGTTAAAAGAGATATTTACATTATATATTTATACGTTTATATACATATTGTCTGCTCCTACGCAATTTTACAACCACCTGCTTGGGGGCGGACGGTTGACTGCTATTCACCAATAATATCGATTATAGATTAACTGATAAAGGCCGTTTATATAGATGTTATTTAGAAAATGAAAATTTTAAAGCTATATATAATCCACTCGCAGGTTTAACAGCACTGGAAAATTTCTTAATAATGCCTTCGTGTCTCTTTTACATATTAAAAATGACAATACAAATATTGTGTTTATTTAATATAGCGATTTTAATAAGCTTAAATTTTGCCCTTCCTCTTATAGCGCTATATCAAACAAGGTTTTTTGAATATGAAGCAAAAAACTGGATCTTTCCAGGTAAGTTAGTCTATAAAAAACAACTGGTTGCCTGAACTTCAAACATATTTCATGCAGGTTATTTCCAGATAGGATTTGAGGGTTGTATCATGTTTGCATCGCATTGTAGCTTGTTATTACTTTTTATATGGCTCATCAGGTTGGAAAATTGCTTTGAGACAACACATATGTTATTAGCATATTCTTAATGAAAAAACTCAAATTTAAGAAAACTATCTTTATCCACCTTTTGCCTAAAATCAAAACAGTTAAAATACAAAATTTTATTGTTTTTGACAATTCATTCTCAGAAAAATGAAAGAAACAGTAATGTTAGATAGTGCATATAACAAATTTGTTATATAAGGTCAGAAAAACTAATGTATATTAATGCTGTTTCTAATATTGTTCATTTTTAATTATTAATTTGTCGACACCTGTACTGTACTACATTACCCATGAGTTTTGATATTTTTCCTCACAAAAAATAAGAAGTCGATTTTAATGCATATATGTCGATAGGGACAATTTTTACCTACACATCTCGAGTGGCAGGTCATTTACATAAATAATATTGCAAGTGCCCACTTTTGGTTGCCATATTTACCATCAGAATTCTATTGGCTACAATATGCTAGTCAAACAGAACAAAAAATGAACATGTTCTAAGAAGAATAATTCCAATTTATGGAAAAACAGAATAAGCTTGAACTATCTTTACTGCCTAACTCATCGTACAGTACACAGACAGCATTTACTACCTCTCTAATCTTGACCTACACTATTTATCACAGATGACAGATGGATATGTTTAGTTAACAAAAGATGCACAAATTCAAACCCAACCTGTCAAGCTCAATTGTACAAACAAACTCACTAACATTGTCAAGGTTTTTAAGAGAACATTGTAATTAAAATTATAGCATTGTATCTTCTTGTTGAACTATACACCCTAGTGTCAGTTTGTAGTGATGCAATTCCAGCATACAAGCGGTTTTGGCTAGTATTATCTGCATGATAAAATATATAAGATATGTTTAAAATATTATGGTATGAAATTTGAACGGAGTGAAAAGTATTAAGTTTCTTGAAAATGTTTATTATTACACACTAATTAAATCAGCAATATATCTTAAATGTGCTTTAGCTTGCAATAACTTTCCTCTAATGGATAAAATTATCAGGTGTTTATTGACCAAAATGCAAGGGTGGAAATCCATTTTAAAACAGAGGGAGTATAAAAATAGCTCAAGGTTAAATGCTTTGTTTCTCCTGCAAGTGCATAAGCTATTGCTGCAAGCATTCTAACGTGTCCATGGACTTTAGAGTGCCATCTGAATAGCCATACCCCTCATTGGAATTTTAGCCTACCTGCCTTGTTCCTTTGAAATTCCCAGTTTTCAATTCCTTCTATAAATCACAAAATAAACTCCAAAGGAAAAATCCCTTACCATGTACAAACTACACATTGTCAGCCATTACCAAGACGCTTTCGTGCATATTTGTTTTTACTATAAAATACAGTGCAAACACAGTGCAAACAATTGAAACAAACCTCTAAACTAACAATCCATGGTATGTAATAATCCTCCATTTTCGCATGTCCTGGATAAATCATATTAAAATATAGTAGTGAAATGAACAATATATAGGCCAATGGCAATTCATCCACCACGATCAGAAAAGGTTAAGAATAATTTATTTAAAAAGCTACACTTTTTTACACCAATAATTCCTTCTCAACAGCAAAACATGTGCTTTAAAAAATTTGGCCGCAGGACGCGCTGCTGGATAGGAGACTGGTATCAGACACTCAGGTCCCCACCTTTGGGTATTGCGTGTCCCGACTCTGGAGATAGTAATATAAAATTGATAATTTTATTAAAAAAGAAACTGTTAAAAAACTAAACTACTTTATCGTAGTAGAAATAGTAGAAACAAATAACTAGACAAATTAGACTTGAGTATTGCACAGAACGAAGTTGGGAATCAACTTTTATTGAAATCAACATGTATCATGTCGAGCGTCATGTCATAACTACATTTATCTATGAGTCATCTTAGCGCACTGTCTTAGCCATGACTGTCAAGATGACGTCAGTGATTTTTGTCACAATTTTTTGTTATTGGAGGACTCCTTTTTTTAAAGCAATATGCGTATATACTGTTCGTATGATCTTATCCTACGTCATTTCAGTTTTTGCTAGCTTGCTAATTCTACCATCTCTGTATCGTAATATTGCTTAGTTGGATGACTACATGATACTGCAACGAGATAGAAGGTCATCTTTGCAAAGATTTTAGGAAGCCTTTGATCTACCATCATCCGTTTGGCGCTGAACCGAAGAAATTATTCAAGAGGAACCTTTCTTCATAGGCCTTGCTCCCAAATGGCCGTTAGAATTCTTAGTTAAAATATTAAAAGCAAAAAATATTCGCGGGACATAATTATTTTGCCACGGCGGAAACCTGCAGCGGACACTGAATTAAAAGAGCGAGCAAATGGGAAAAATATCGCAAAGATTGTGTGACAAATACTAGTTATGCGTAATAACAAATACCGGAAGCTTTTCAGTTTTTATTCATTAGGACATTATGATAGCAAAACAATACGACCCATATGTGGCCATATGTGACAAATACTGCGAATAGAAGAACTCATACCGGAAGGATCTTTAATCATTGACGTATAGATTATAGAAAATGATACTTCATTACGGAATTAAGTTTTTTTGTGCTCTTCTACTTGCTGCTAGTCGCTGGATGCCTGAAGGGTTGTTTGTATGATCGTAGTTTATCGTAGTTAAATAATCGTATAGCTTAGTGTGATTTTAAGGTTTAGAAATGAGCGAATGAAATGATCCTGGCAGTGTCGCAGTCCACGATGCAGAATAATTTAATTACTTCGTGCATAATTACTTTACGCTCGTCTAATCTCTTCCTAAATAATTTTTTTCCTGATCTCAAAAAGAAACATTCTTTTAAGGAAAGTCTGGCACGTCAGAAGGGGTGAGGGCACACAGCCCCATACACTGCATGGTACTTTTCTTTATAAGAGAAAGCAAGTCATGGGAAATGAGGTTGTTGCGTTTTTCCTCGCAAGAAGTTTGATTGCACCTAGTACTACCTACTGCTAACATTACATGCACTGTATATGCATGCATGGCCTTCTCTTGATTTTATATGCAGTGCCAGTAGTGGTATATGCAGAATTTATGTTAAATTTACCTCGACCAGCTCTCATTAATTCAGTGTTATGTGAAAGCATTTTCTAGAAGCCATGACTGATATTTTTGCAAAAATTCACGATTAAACTGCATTATAAAATAAGATGTTTATTTTGGAGAAACGGCGAAGGCGGATATTTGCGTCCCAAAAACACGTGCATGTAATCTATATTTGTTTATACATTGTCAATTACTTGAATGTGAATTGTATCACATGAAACTATTTTTATCTCATCAATGATTCTTTTCATGGACATTAAACTGAATTCAGTTTTCTATAACACTGATTTTTCTGCAATATGGGTATAGATTGATAGTTATAAATTTAAAATGCTTTTGTATTTAGAGATGGAAAAAGTGTTATTTTCGATTGCAAGAGAAAAGAAAGCTGTGTTATGCAAAGGAGCCCACGGTATGTGTTTGACTGTTTGTCATCCGTGAGCGTGAATGATATTGATACTTGATATTGATATACCTATATATATATATATATATATAATTATATATATATATAATATATATTATATATATATATATATATATAATATATATATATATATTAATTATATGTAATTCTAACCACAAAAACTATATGGCATAACTCAAAGCTGCATGTATACTTGATTTTTTCCTAACTATTTTTTAATTATTGGTTCTCAATAAGATGAAATGGCTAAGATAACAATTAACGTAAGTGTTTTTCTCTAGTTACCATCAGATAATCGAAACTCACAAAGATTTCAATTGTTAAATGACGTTTCTTTTTGTTCGCCCCCGGTTTAGGCCTACGAGACTCTTGCGCGGGCGATAATTATACAGGAATATCCGTGGGCGAGATACTCGTATACATATGAGATGCTATATAGTCAGTTCAATCGGTGTATATTTCACGCTAGTTTATATCCGACACTGTACATCAATACTTAGCAGCCTGTGGTCGATAAACGATATACGAAAATGAAAATAGCTATATAGGTTATAAAATAAACACTAAATGGTATTAAATCATTAATATTCATTTATAGGCAGAAATATTTACTGAAGTTGATATACAGAATTCGAGTGTGGCTGAAACAAGTATAAAGAATGTCAACAACAGTTTTTCTGTAAGTAACATTTTCTGTCATATAAATTATGGCTTGAAAATATTTCCTAAAAACGTAAACGAATCGTACAATCATTATGCTGCATGCCAGAATGTTTCTTTCGTTCACATACGCGGCGCCCAACTAATTACTGCTTACCACTTAAGCATTCCACTCTTATCATACGCACGTACACGCACGTAAATGTCTAAATCCTTCATCCTTGTATATGTCATATTTGAAAAAGCCAGGTGAATAAATCGAAAGAACCTAGTTTTCCGCATATTTTAGTATGCATTTGTTGACCCATAGTTTTCCACGCGTAAAAAAACACGTAAGTGGAAAGCAGGCTTAAATTTCTTTCTACGACGTACGCAAGTAATGATAATTTATATAGTTGCATGTCGTTCCGTAGTCTTGTCTATATGCCGTGCATGATCGCGATATTTACTCGACAACACTTCGTCCCTAGATTCGCGCCCACAGATGTCACACTTATAGGTATATTAGGGCACTTAATGTAATCAGTAATTCTGTTTATCTGGGGCGTAAATGAGGGGAATCAATCCCTAACAATCGACCACTCAGATCCTGTAGGCGTTAATTAAGGTCGACACATATCGAACGCAATGCGGCAACACGAATTTTGAGTTTTCAGAAGCGTATTTCTGAATCCGAAATTTGGAAACTATTGACGCCAGAGCAGTCAAAATTTAGCTATTATAACGTTAAGTAATGTATACAAGAATATTGTGATTGGTAAAAATTTATTTCAGTGCTTTCAAAAGTAAAAAACTTGTTTCCAAATCGCGCCCTGTCGGTGCATGTGGGCCTTTATATTGCTTGGCCTCACGAGTTTAATTTATGGTTATCATTCAACTTAAAAGAAAACAATGCTGGCTGCATTCTTGTCAAATATTTGTGAACAATAAAAAACATTGCGCTGGGATGAATGAAATGTAAAACACCATAGAATAATATTTCTGTATGCATGAATTTAACATGATATTAAAGCAATCAGATTCTAACAAAGGCTTGATTACAATATATATGTAGAAGCTAGATTATAAATATTCCTATGAAAATTTCAGATCATCATGCCTTACCTGACTCTAATATTATGCGGTGATACAAGAAGAGAAATGGAAGAGTGGATAACTGCACTGCGTAATATCACAATGAGGAGTTCCAATGTAAGTTATTTTTATAACGATAACACAACCATTAATGGGAACGCCATTTATTCTCCATTTTCACGTCATCGTAGCCATAATTCCCTCAATCTAAATCTCAACGTCTATACTGATGATTATACGGATTGATCACTACCAGTCGTGCAGCTATAGGGTGTACCATTGAAAAAGTGACACTATATATGGGATGCATGTATAAAAAAAAGCAAAAGCAACCTCGAAACTTTGGAAGTATTTAATGCTGTTCTCGTGCAGAAGACTGCTAAATGTTTATTTTAACCAACAATATCCAGGCCTGCATGTTCTCATCAGTGAACCAGAAATCGTGCATGCGTGCTCACATGCGTAGTGTATAAAAAATAGGAGTATAATATTATGAACGTTATAAAAAGTGAATTGCATGTGGGATCAAAGACAAACGGATGAATGAACATCGCTTTTGTCGTGTAAAATTTTCATCAAATGGAGGCATACCATTCACGTTCGTTTGAAAATGTCCATTTTGATTTAAATATGAGCAATCACACATTTATCAATGGTTGAATTAGTTGAATTTTATCTATGCAATATTTTTGTAGTCCGATATCCTGGATCGTTTGTCAGATGGTCATAACTGGTATTCACGCTCTCATTCCCGACCTACCTTATGTAATGTCTGCGGTGAACTGTTGCCTGGGGTTACATCGAAAGGTTTATCATGCGAAGGTGCAGTAACAGTAAATTATGAGCAATTTTTGAAAAAAATTTAAGAGATTATCAAACCGGGTTAATGTTGAATTCAACTGCATCATATCACATGCAATAATATAAAGAGCTTTTTCTGGTGTACGCGTCCTCCGCCCGACTTCTTATTATCATAATATTATTTGCTTCGTTTGTAATGTTTCTATTTTACCGACGTGTTAAAACTAAATGCATGAGAAGATAAGATAGTAAGTTGGAAGAAAGATGGATGACCAAACTGAGACCGATTTTGCGAGAACTCCCTTTCTCCATGCAGTGTGCATGCAGCAGGAATGCAATCTATATACGCCTCTGCATGCAATTCCAGAGATTCCATTAATCAACTTGAATGAAAAGAATGAAGGAACGTTCTAATTATACATGCTAGCTGATTTTGTGCTATTTTGTTTTATTATTCATGCTAGCTGATTTTGTGCTTTTGCATTTTTCACACTTACAGTGTGTACATACACAGTGCATAAACATTGCGCTGTACGCGCTGTAGACAAATGCAAGTGGACCTCCCTTGAAACGATAGGAAACAAAGAAAAACTCAGTGAATACAACGATCCAGTAAGTAGCAGTGATAGTCAGTTTGAAGAGATTATATATACAGTGATCTTAATCTCTTTATTCTTAAATCTCTAACTTTTCCTTTTTTTATATTTAGTTCGCAATGGCTCACCAATGGATGCAGCTAAACATACCACCTGGATCAAAATGTTATGTGTGTGATAAAAGTTGTGGTGGAAGAAAAAACCCGCAGGATAGAAAATGTCTCTGGTGCGGGTTATCTGTAAGTCTCTTAACATATATAAAACTTTCAGATTTAAATGGTCTGTATTAAACGACTATAGCTATATATAAGTTAAAATTTTCCTACATGTATATAAATACCTGGTGTTACGGGTTTTTAAACAGTCATTAGTGATAATAACATATAATTTTCCTAGGTACATAGTTTTTGCGAAAGTCCAACGGCAGCACGAGCTAAATGCTCGCTGGGTGAGAATCATTTATCAATTTTACCTCCGACATACTTGGCGTTTTCCTCTAAACCAGGAATGCTAATGGAGGTAAGACTATTTCACTTGTACGTGCATGTATTCGCGTGATTTGTCAGATTCGATAAGAAATTTGAAAATAAGTTTATCACATCTCAAGTACGTGCGCCATTTCACTAGCTGAGCGACGACATGCAATTAGACGCACATACACGTCGCAATATTGCGGTCTAAAAGGTTTTGACAAATTGGAAATGATAACTATATATTGACCATAATCTTTTGTTATACACAAAACAATTACATCCAAGTTACATTAATGTGAAATGTTAAACACGTTTCTTTTTTATTTTCAGGCCAAACGACCTCCTCATGGTAACCCTTTGTTAGTTTTTGTAAATACTAGAAGTGGTGATAATCAGGTATAGTAATCTACATATATACCTAATTGTATACACATGCACCTGAACGTCACGTGCGCCTACCAAAGTAGTATGAAAGAATTGGATATTTCATTTTGAGGATATTTATGCAATAGACCTTTTCAGCTTATATGCAAATTAACCATTTTAGCATTCAAACTGAAATGGTCTATAGTGGTGAATATTTGATACTTTTGGATAATCATTGATTCGAACATTTTTGGTTCTTTTTCCTTCAGGGTGTTAAATTTCTAAGAAAGTTTAAACAGCTACTAAATCCAGCACAAGTTTTTGATTTAAGTTTTGGTGGGCCAGCACAAGGGTAATACATAGTGTGTTTTATTATTATTAACTTGACAATTTTTTTAACAATTTTTCCCGCTAAATGTCCAGAATTGAATGCCACTTTCAATTCTATAAAAGACCTTTAATGCCACCAAATAAAACTCGTATACTAATCGTATATGATTCAACTTCAACTAATAATAACTCCAATAAGTTCAACTTCAAAGTTCAACGCATGTACCAATGTCGTTTATCTCACTGAATTCTTTGAAATATATTGTATTTGTTAGTCTAAAGCTGTTTCAACACCTTGATTTGTTCCGAATTCTGGTTTGTGGAGGCGATGGATCCATAGGCTGGGTTATGACTGAAATTGATCGAATGAACTTAATAAAAAAGGTATAACACTTGATGTAAATGTTTGACATGCTTTGTTGGTACTTTTGCCATCTAATTAACTCTTCCATTACCTTTATAAGCCTCAGTGTAAGTAAAGTAGCTACCTTAGTCAGCGAAGTCATTTTATTTCAACTGCATTCCTTATTTAGTGCCAGATTAGTGTACTCCCTCTTGGGACAGGCAATGATCTATCTCGAGTTTTACGTTGGGGAGCAACGTTTTACGATACGAATGCACTGCCATATTTACTCAAATCCCTTGAAGGAGCAAAGACGGAGATGCTTGACAGGTCAGTGTAGAAATTTCACGTCTTCGTTACCTCCATGATAATCCCAATTGAATTTATAGCTCTTATGTTTGTTTCTTTGATTGCATGATCTTTACACAAACATAATTTAGCCGGCACTTTATTTGGGTGTTTGAATTCTAATTAAATGTTTTCATGACATTTTTCTTTGCTTATCCTCGATGAACATGATCATCATGCACAGCGCAATCTTTTTCATCTATATAATGCTTGGATTTCTATAATCGACAACTGCATGGCTCAATTTTAATCGATGCATGCATGGATACATATACCATTCCTTATTCCAGATGGAGTATAATGATTCAAGAAGAGAAAGAGATGACAACCAGTCGTCCTTCTTCTACCTATTCTCTGTCTTCTCATGCGGAATCCAGCACGGTATATCTTATAAATTACTTCGCTTATAATTATCTTTTTCTGCATTATCGCGTATAATGTACCTTTATGTTAACATTTATCCCTGATATTCCCTGTAATGTTTTATGATTTATGTTTCAGCCTTCAGAAGATTCATTCAATACAATGGAAAATGATATTGGAAAGCATTTATCAAGAATAATGCACTCGCAGGAAAATACTGAAGTTATTTCGTCAGCCAGGTATAAGACCTTAGCGTTTTTTGGAAAGGTTTTAAAACGTTATCCTTGCTCGCATGAATGACCTTACCGGACATGGGCTTTTGAACTCGCCCATACAGAGTTAGTCTTCTCTGCACTCACCGGGTCATATAGATTAAAATTATAGGTTTTTGGTCGATTTTTCAAATTTTATACTATATCGCTATGCTATGGCAGAAGCAAATTCATGCCTATACAATACAAACTTACGGGGTCGTCCTGTGTTTATCATGCATTACTGGTCCCTTTTCCTTTGAATTTGTATTGCGCTTTTTTATAACGAAATCCTTGTTCTAAACACCATTTTAAGAGTACTGTGTGGCATTGTGAAGACTCTAGTATCCAAAGTTGGTGCAGCGTCAGCCTCGGAAGAAAGTAACCAACCCGGCCAACCAGATGAACTGAGTCAAAAGGTAACTTCATCGTTACAAACACAACAATTTTTATCTATTTTGGCCCTCGATTGACTATTTTTTTGTTTAGGAAATGATTACTAAATGAAATAAAATAAACAAAAAACCTCCCTGTTTTTCTCTAATAACGAGACGTTTTAACAAAAGAGTGATTCGACTTGTTCAATAAAAGTAATCGTGCAACTTCATCTCCGTGGTCAGCCCCTGCATGCCTGCATGTGTAACCTGTGCCGTACGATCTGTGCTAACCTCGTACCTGAGCTTTTGTGCATGTTTTGTTTGAAATAAAGAATCCATTATCTATAGAAAATTATCTGTCACGTTTGCCCACATCTGCAATTCAGCGTGTATTTCATATAGTGCTCTGTTCTAAACGACAAGTTGGACCAACTACTTCATACATTGAATGTTGAAGCAGAAGCTGTGCAAAACCCTTCCGAAAGTGGTAAACTTAGTCCATCAGGAAGACCGAAGGTATGAGAAATTTTAAAGTTAAATCCATAAAATCCATGAAGTTAATTTTCACATCCATTTTAGGTCTTCGTTCCTAGAGACGCTTTAATGTCCAGAGCAAACAGTTTGAAGAAAGCGTTACGGCAGATTATTGATCACACTGAACAGGGTAAGTTATCCGTTCAACCTACGATAGACATACACGGGCTGAGACAGCAGATGTAGTAATAGATCTGGATTAGAAATGCAGTAATCCAGAGACAGCAGATGTAGTAATAGATCTGGATTAGAAATGCAGTAATCCAGAGACAGCAGATGTAGTAATAGATCTGGATTAGAAATGCAGTAATCCAGAGACAGCAGATGTAGTAATAGATCTGGATTAGAAATGCAGTAATCCAGAGACAGCAGATGTAGTAATAGATCTGGATTAGAAATGTAGTAATCCAGAGACAGCAGATGTAGTAATAGATCTGGATTAGAAATGTAGTAATCCACTAAATCCAGAGACAGCAGATGTAGTAATAGATCTGGATTAGAAATTTGTCAGGAGGTGTTAAAAGAAACGGCTAGTTCAAGGTGGTAACGGTAACCGGTATTTAGAGGTGGGGATGAGAGGGAGGTGTTGTTGAGGAGAGGGTGTTGTTGGGTTTTATCTGTATATGTTACATGCACGTTTCTCAGTGTAAGTTATAGAATTTTTTTCATTTCATATTTCAGCCGTAGACGAACAAAATGCTCAGACCGTAAACAGTAATGATCTTGCTCAATCTATTGTGATGGCGGCGACTACAGCATTCGATGCACAAATACCCAATATCGTAACAGACGACAATCGATACGAACATCAACAGAGTTTATCTGGTAAGATAATTGTTATCATATATCATAGGCAAGGCATAGCATAACCTGGGCTCTTCACATTCGTCAAAAAGTCCCGGTAGGGAAGTTGATCCTTTGACAAGTCTTTTGAACAACTTTAAGCATCTATAATATCCTACACCCTAACTTTTATATACAGTAGCTACAAACTATCTAATAAAAATATAAAATATACAATTATTAACAATTACAATAATAAGTACAATTATTAGAAGAATTATATAAAATAATATTTTTCTTCCTTTTTTTAACGTAACAGACAATAAAACGATTCCGTATTAACTATTTTAGATATTCCTGAAGCGAGCAGTGAAACATTACTATACCCTGAAAGATACTCCCCTCGATTATTGAGTAGATCTTCTCCACAACGTAGCGAATCAACACAAGATGAACTAAAGTTCGAGTCGAAAGCAACAGTTCATTTTCCTGGAACAATCATAGCAAAGGCATTTCTCAAAGAGAAAGTGAACGAGTCGAATAGCCCTGGAAGTTCAATGGTTTACAAAGCATTAATTGCTAACGTTGATACATTATGTGCAGCTGCAAGTCCCGTTCCAGATAACTTTGTGTCTGTGTAAGTTTTTTTTTAATTTCCTTATATATAAGATCTTCATTTTTTAATGCTACTGCGATCCACAAATTCACCAGGCAAACTCAGGTCTCTAATGGGACCATGGGGGTTCAATTACACGGTTCAATTACTCTATAGTTGAGTGGAATGCTTCTATAGACAGGGCATGGACGAAAAGTTCAGCGGGCCTTGGAACCGTCAACGGTCATTCGCTGACATGGTCGTAGCGTTTAACTACCGGGGGGAGCATCACTGACCTAGTGAGGAAGCCTACATAGGATTTGCCTTTAACCGAGCTTGCGGTCATGTTGCATGATAAAGTAATTGCTCAATAATTCAGTTACTGGTTGACTGCAGTATTTAAATACGCGATGCCGACTCTGAGTCTTTTTTGTTTCAGTGAGGGTTTTACGGAGCGTTGCGTCATGAATAATTATTTCAGTATTGGTATGGATGCAAAAGTTGTCTTAGAATTCCATCTTAAGCGAGAGGAAAATCCTGAACAGTTTAGGTAAGATCTGGGGCGTGTGGAAGTTGAAAGGGGCTGCCAATGTCCGTAAGATAGAACGAGCAGCATAGGCTGAATTGTAAAAACATCGAATTTATAAAACACCATGTGGGAACAAATGGTATTTACCTCTACCACTCCTCAAATCTCACCCTTCTGCACGTTACCACGGTAGTAACTGCACTTATTTACGGGACGTGTTTTTTTAATACAGGAGTCGGAAACTTAACCAAATCCACTACGGTATGCTTGGAGGAAAAGAGTTTTTACAAAGTTCATTCAAGAACTTAGATCAGCGCGTGCATATCGAGGTGAAAATGTTTTCTATTGCATTTTTCTTTTCATTTTTTAAATTTGTAACCAGATTACTTCGTTAGATTTTAAACTTCCCATTTCATAGTTAAGTTGTAGTCGTAACTCTAAAATCTTCGATTGTAGTTTCGTTATCTTTGGTTGACTTTTTACAACTGCCCCCTGAGCTGATGTTTGGTCGCTATATATACTTCTATATCAATATCTTCGTCTCCAGCCTAAAAACAACTAAATCATTTTTCAAATAATCCATTCAGGTTGATGGTCACAAACTGCATGTCCCACGACTCATAGGGATAGTTGTTCTTAACATACCAAGGTAATCAAAATGTTGTTGGTAAATTCAGCCAACAAATATCAGTTAAAACAAGCTATAAAGTGAAAATAATATTCAATAAATGTCGGAGGTTTATCTATAACTATATACTAGTCAACAACATACTAGTTGCTTTATAATCAATATAACTTTATTTCCTCTCAGTTATATGGGTGGTTCAAATTTCTGGGGCTCTTGGAATAATGATGATGTAAGTACATATCATACTTATAGTTATATTGCCAAAATTTTGCAATTTTGTGTTGTGTTTTTAGCAAGAATTTTTGAGAAACTATGTTTTCAAGTACTATTATTGGCGTTTTTCTTAAAGGGATTTACCACGCCGTCATTTGACGACAAAATAGTTGAGGTTGTTGCTGTATTTTCGGCAAGTCAAATGGTAGGTGGAATCTCATGACAGGAAATTGTGAGCCTCCCTGTTTAAATTATAATTTTGAAAAACGATCGTTTTATTTGACAGGGTATGGCTAAGGTATTTGGTGGAATGCCATATTATCGGACGGCTCAGGTATATCATATGGTCCTCATATATTGGAAGTTAACTCTTGGTTGAACTAACAAACTGATTTGATATATTCACCATTGCAATCTTTCACAAATTACCATAAAACAATTGATAAAAAAAAATTCCAACGAGAAAGGGGCCTAAATGACGGAAGTGTTCATAAAAACCCATCACTTAGCTGGAAGTCATTTTTCCCAAATGGCTACTAATCATGGTTTCACGCTTCTTTCAGTGTCGGTCTGTGAAAATCACGATCACAGACGAGGCAGTGCCGGTACAAATTGATGGTGAACCTTGGATGCAACCCCCCGGTGTTATAAAGATTGTACATAAAAACAGAGCGCAGATGTTAGTCCGAGATGCAGTAAGTGATCCATCTTTAATTTTCCTGCCTTCAAACACCCAAACACTTCTTTGCATAGGACTCTAATTCAATCACACGATCGCATGTACAAAATTTAAAGCGCCCCAGCTCCAAAACATGCATCATGTAACTATAAACAATGTGTAACTTTATATTTCTTTGCTGTTTAATAGGAGTTTGAGAGTACGTTAAAATCTTGGACTGACATTCAGCAAGAAAAACACGAAAAAAATTATCTATCAGAAGAAGAAAATATGCAGCAAATGATTGTATCATTGAGAGCTCTTATAAAATGGTAAGTTAATTAGATTATAGGAAAAACAGAGTATGATGTCAGGACTGTGAAACAGAATTGAGAAATGAATACTTACTCAAAAGTGCTTTTATATAAAAATATCGTTTATTAGAAAAATCACTGAGGGTCTTGATTATCCTAAGATTCCCAAAATTTCTTTGCATGCCGCCATGCTCGGTGTGACAAATCGAACAATCCTAAATTTTAAGAATTCGGTGGTTGCATGAGGCTTTCTCGGTAAAAACCTGATCTATAGCTTGTACTGGATGCACTGCATGATCTTATTATTATTGTTTGAAGTAGAAATCGAGTAGAATTTTATTAAATAATATCTATATATTTAAAACATGCGTATTTTCAAAATTATATTTCTAGTATTCATGTTGGTGTTTGTCATACATTAATTCATCAGAGGCTTCTTCCTTTGGCTGAGAGTCTGGAAATGAAACTCAATAGAGTATTTCCTCGAGGAAAGCTTGCAGAGGTTTGTGGCGCCCGGTTGCACGTATTATGCATCAAATATAACATTTATAGTTTACAAGATTACACGAATATATATATAATACTGGGGCATGAAATACTGCATCGATAATTGGCTCCATCTACGTGCCAAATGTTGACGTAATTTACTTTTAGAGTGCGTCAAGATTGGATCTTTCTGAATTAGTTTCTTTGGGGAAATTTTTCGAGGAAAACGTAAAGGAGTTTATGGAAACAAAAGTGAATGATTTGCGTCCGGTATGTTTAATTAAAGTATAAGATAATAAATGCGTCGTGGCATGCACATGCGCAGTGCTATGATGAGTCTTTGTTATAGTACATTACGTTTTCTCCACATGTTATGAACTTCAGTCCTTAACTTAATAGAAGTCATTAGGTTTTCATGTTTCATAGGCTTTATATATTGTCACGACACGAGCTCCGGCCAAGGGTGAAATAAAAAACAAAAGCAGACAGAACTACGATATACTTCTCTTTGTAATAAACCACTTTTCCATTTAGCCAATGTCTTCTGAATTACGCGAGCGTATTAACGAAGATGCGGAAAAGGCACGGAAGGCAATAAGAAGAGTTATCGAGATTCATGGACTGGGTTCTCTTAGTGAAGAGGTATATTCATCCAACTGGTGCAACAAATTTATATTTGGTAAAAACAAATAAATCACATGCAGCTTTAATAACATATGTATAGACAGCAAAAACAACCAAGAAGGGCTATAATTATAGTAATTACAGATTTTTATAAGAGATGAGCATGTAACTGAGCATGTAACTGAGATAATAACTTGAAAAGATTTAGTACTACATATGGTCATGATCATATATATCTTATACGATAGTATGTGGTACCCGCATTGACCGGGCCGCCTATGATATGGTTAGTACATAGTCTGATGATGTTTTTGCAATAAAATCAAGTGATCTCTTAATTTGAATTTTTTGAGATAATGACTTCCTTCCTATGGGTACTTGTTTCAACTTGAATATTAACATTTAGCTAGAATTATTATTCATGAAAATTATTACGAATCTTCGTGGAAATTGTTTTGAGTGGTCAAATTCGTGGAAAGTATAATTTGTGGAAAATATAATTCGTGGAAAATATAATTCGCGGAAATTACTGTCTAATATAATCATGTTGTTGTATGTAAGAGTAAAAGATAGACATGCGTGTACCTATAAGCCATAATATTTTTTAATTTTATCAAAAAATCAAATCATAATAAGTCGGATTTGACAACGCTATATAGAAATACAGTATAAAGACACTGAAATCATCTAGCAAAGAGTAAAAACGATGACACGTAGGATCCGTTTACGCACTTGCATGAGCAGATTGAAACTTTGTAGTTTTCGCTTCTGAAAAGTAGAGCGAAATCGAGCAATGAATCGTAATACAAAATAGGCACGAAATGATTGCTTAAATTAACTATATAAATATATACCTGTATCAGTTGCATTAGCCAATCTGTATTACCTTAGTCTACAAGGGAGATCACACACGATCGAGTTGGTAATAGTATACTGTATACATATGCATGTCATTATTGCAAAATATGCTCTAGTTGCAGACTGATAAGAATTCTCTGTCAAGAGGAAAAGGAATGTTTGGACTGGGAAGATTAAGAATGACAAAAAGACCTGACTTACCAAAAGCAAACACAGCACCAGCTGGTACGTTTTATCATGCAGTTTACCCTTGCTGTTTGACAGTTTTGACACAAGTGTCGCCATGTCAAAATGTTCCTTAAATGCATGGGCCTCAATTATAGAGGATGTTGACAAAAGGATTAGAGAAAATATCTTAAGTGTACACATATCATGTGAAACTTTTTCCAGGTAACAAAATTAAACCGTGGAAAACGCTTCTAAGAAATGGTTGAAACCTCGTGCCGAGCATGCAAGCGTCTTTAATTCTATTCTTCGATACAATTACATTAATGTTCTTTTCCTAATATAATTTAACTTTTATTTCTTAAACATTAGGTGGAATGATTCAGTTTTGGAGAGTATCGGAGGTGTGCGAATGGTTAAAGAGTATTGGTCTAGGAGAATACAGGGAAGTATTTACTTTGTCCGACATCGGAGGAGATCGTTTATTGCACCTCGATAAAGAACAACTCAAGGTAACCAATTTCCTGGTATACTTGGTGATAAATTTATGTGATAATTAGAATAGTCATATTAAACAGATTGATTCTCCATAGAAATGCTAAGAAAACAGCATTATGCATGCATGGGCTTAGCCTTAATGATATAATTGTGTCGGTTTGTGCTGTCGGGGTCATGCATTGCCACAGGGTTCTGAACTAATGAGTTTTTTTATTGAATTCATATATATTGCATTACAGGATATGGGGGTAAATAAGCAAGAACACAGAAAGAAAATTCTTCGAAGCATCAAAAGCTTATGTGGAGGTCTTCCACCCAGTACAGCATTGTTGATCGATAGAACAGAACATGGAAATCGTCTAAAGATAAAAAACCTCGATATCGAGAAAGACTTCGACAGTCAGTAGAACAATGAATGTACATAAACTAATGTGGACGGCTATATCGCGAGGATTTAATAGAGATGGGTAGTAGCTAGTCACGGGGTTTTGTCCATGATTAGGTCAGAGTAGAAATCATAATTTATGAAAAGCACAATTATCAACTTTCCGGTTTTAAGCAGTGCATGATGAGATCTGCTTGTGTATATATGCATGGTGCGCTTACAAGCAAGGGCTGGATTCCAGGAATAGCAAAATATTTCTTATAAAAAAGTTATAATGCCATAACATGTGGACTCACTTTCATCACGTGCTGTACTGTCCGCTTAATTCCCACTGCATACATTCTTTAATTGATTATTTGACGATTTTCGGCACACAATTTTCCGGTTTCTACTCAAATCAAATGATGGACTATCTTCTCTATTAAAATTTCTCGCAGCAATAATAGTTTAAATGTAATAATAAAATGATTGCTAGTATTTATTATCTGTTAGGCTGGTTTCTCCTAACACATGTAAACTTTATCAGGTATAAAGAGAGTTTTATAAATGAATTATATGTAATAAATTCTTGTGTGCATGTTTTTTTGTATTGTGAAATAAATTTAATACGAAAACTAGGAAGATGCATGCATGCAAGAACCGTGCTTGAGTTGGTGTATATACAGGCTGTATGCTTGAGACTTATTTGGCGAAAAAAAATATTTATAAATTCCCAACAAAATAAGACTCGCACATGCAGATTTCAAGCTTACATGGACAGGATAAAAACGAATGACCAGTTGCGTAACTTTAAGGCCCTGCTTGTCCTACAGGGTGTATAAAAAAGTACCCCTATGGAAACGAAGCTTCTGTTGGGATTGGAATGCATGATTAATGCACTGCCACTGATTGCAGAATGCGTATTTATTCAATAGTATTCTCTTTAGTAGCGATACAGAAATGCACAATTGCGAACCAGTGATTAGATTTTGGGTTGAAACTAACAATTTCTGCGGGGTTTAGGCAGGCAGGGACGCATGGGTGTACGTTGAAGCATGAAAATTTTCAAAGATCCATATGAATGCAATTTTACAAATATCGGTGAATTAATATGTGAAGCGAGATCCCGGCACTGCCGAGTTGCGAGTTAAACCGCGGGCTGGCCCGTCTCATATGAACAGGCTCTTACAACCGGACTATTTCTCATCGGTATAAAAATGACTTGTTCACGACGTAATGATATTAAATCAGTGGAAACAATGCTTTATAATAATCATTGGCTTATTGCACAATAGTCACGCGACCAAGTGATAGGCGACTTAACAGTTGTGAAATACAAATATATCATATAGAGACATTGATTTATAAGTACTGTTGTTTCTGCGTAATTTGTTGACATCAATCACAATGCTTGACTTGCGCAGGAAAATATTTCGAAATAATTCGCATGCATGGTTACAATAAGATAAAAATAGTCCAAATTCCCGGAAACACACTGCGGGTGACTGCGTGCAAAGACCATTTAGGTTCAGGCGAGACTACTGCCGCCCATTCAAAGCATCACTTGCTTTCGATTCAGACGGCTTTTAATAGGAAAGAAGACTTTATAAAGCCAAGTTGTTCCTTCAGGTGTTTTCAAATATGGCTCAACTCATCTCGCTTATACTAGTTACAGGTTTGTGCAATCCTTAATATTAATATATGATTATATTTTTGCACTTCGTAAAACCGCAATATAGAAATGTAATAGATATGATAAATCTTTATCGGATCACACAAGATAGTCTCGTTTGTGAAGGTCCAGACTATAACTGGTCCACTAGTACCACAATGTTCTGTTTTCGCAAACTTAAAACAAAATATCACCGATTAAATTCTTATAAACACAAACTGACGAGGCCTGCCGACTCCAGACAAAACAAGTTATCAAAGGATTTTCAATAGATGTGAGCCAAAATTTAGATACGAATACCTTTTCATGGTAAAGACGGGGAATTCTTAGGCGAAATCAGAAAAAAACAATAAGAAAAATTCAACGAAATCTCGCACAATCGGTGAATTTGTTTTTATTTCTGACACCAAAAACGTTTATTTCCTGTCAGATTAATTCCCGACGGATTACTGGTATTTTAGAGTGTTTTAAGAAATCTGCATTCTGATTTAATGATCTTTACATCTGATTAGCAGAGAAAATGCAGTTTCACCAATATATTTTTAACGAAATACTCTATTTCAATTCAAAATACGACCGGTCTGACCATTTTGGCCACTTAATGGAAAGCGCCCTAAATCTCCACCTTTCCGCGAAGGCTTCAACTTTGGCACAGTGGTAAATAAGTTGCCATTAATTAACGCTGGAGTATAATTGCTAATATTGATCTTAGAAATTCCTATCTGTGTTTTGTGTCATTGGATCAAAGCTATTATATAGGCAATTATGTCATTTACCAATGATAATGTTGTTTGATGTGTCTACCATGATCTATGATCAGTTAGATGTACTTCATTAGCGCGCGATGAAGTGTTTCGACACAAATTAACGATGCAAATTAAGAGGAGTTAGTTTTAGAGGTAGCCTCTACCACGAAGCCGGATACAAGTGTAACCAAATCGGCAAATGATTTAGTCGTTGTGATATTTTTATCCATCGTAAATCTAGTTGTAACTGCGCCCATTTTTCTGGCCCTCTTTCGAACGACAAAAGATCGAGTTAACCGGTTAGACTTGAATCACATTATCACATTATATTCTATTATATTATATAGTGCAATTATTCATGGTGATGACTAGTTCGTGGGCTCAAGTTCCAAAGCCTACAACATTTATCCCGACACTTTATGTAACGAGTGAAGTTGAGGCTCAAAAACCTAACCATGCTGTCACCTACCAAGCAAACATATGTAACACAACTATCTTCAAAGATATGATGATGATCACTCGGGTTAACATGCCAATTGGATGGGACCCAAACATTGGAAGGACGGCAAAAATACAGGTTTTTACATTTTGCTAAGTTTTTTGTTTTGTAATCATATAAAAATTCCATTCTATAAATTCCATTCTTTATGCATTAAATGCAAAATGCACTATTATAGGTTTATTATCACATAACCCGTGAGTATAAAAATGAGATATCAATGAAGTGAACAATTGGGACTGAAAAGGTTCATCCATGCACTCCTTGCAATGAACTAAAAGAAAATTAAGAAATCAAAGATTGGCGAGGCAAATGTTACATCCAAAAATCTCGAAATGACATTGCATCCAGCCGTGACGTCACGATTAAGAAGCGTTCTCCTTCGTCGAACTGAAGCAAATATATAACCTTGCTTCAACTATTATTGTATAGAGTTCAGTTGAGGAAAAGCGAGCGCGCGGGGTGCTTCTGTTTAGCGAGATCAAAACAACCCTAAAGCCCGTTCTCCACTAGGGAAATTTGTTAGCGCGAACAGATAAAAAGTAGGAAGCTAAGCGATCACATCATTGGATTTTCAGATTTCGCTCCACGTCGCACGAATAAATTCGCCTAGTGGAAAAACCGCCGCGCGCTCGCTTTCTCTCAGCTGAACTCTATATAATAGCCGAATGCAAGTTATGTTTTTCTAGGCCTAGGTGCGAGGCTAACCATGACAACTCTCTGTTCTCGAAAGAATTCTGATTAGTATGATTTTCGATTCAAAATTTTCATTGTATTGTGTGGTGGGTAAAGTAATGTCACTAAAGTGACACGATGAAAGATGATTAATTATTATAGAGCCTGTTGTGAGCAGGGCCTGGTTTTGAGTGTTTTGTTCACAAATAAACGCACGCGCTGACCATACAATGAACGAGAAATTTCGAGTCTATACAATCTAAGTTCATTGATTGCTGCATTGAAGATCCGAGCTTCGTTACAGGCTGTCATTTTTGAATAAACCATGATTTTCATGGGTTATTGCGAATAAACCGCGATTTTAATGGGTTATTGGTTAGCTCAGTGGTTATTGCAAATAAATTATGATTCCCATAATCTGTCGCCAGGCAACAAGAAACCACGTGATTGATTTTGACCAATCGCGTAAGTAGATTTAGGCCGCGCACGAAGATTGTATATTAATATGATTTAACTGATATTTTTGAAAATTACTGCTGGCTTGTCACCTCATAATTTGCATATAATTCACACCGTAATTCTTTCATATATCCTATTTACAACTGTCATGGCAGGGCTATGATTTGGCAGCGCGAATTTTACGTGTTTTCTAATTCTACTATGATTTATTCTCACCATTGAAATTCAATCTTCTGGGTGGCACCAGTGGGTGGCACGCACGCACGCACACGCCTGCAGCTTGCAATTCTGAATACATATGTTCCAATACCATATGATAAATTCAAATACAGAAGGTACATTTTTGTTGTTCATACCTTTCTTTCAATTTAGGTTTGTTCCAACGCAAATTGCGACAAACCTCTATGCACAAATTTTCCTGGTGGAACGTTCAGTGGCCAGCACAATTGTACAATCCCTTACAACACAACATTGAAAGCCGTGTTTGTCACTGTAACTGCTGGTAACGCTCCATACATTTCCTGGACTGTTGCTGTGGAATTTATCCCCAAATATCAGTACGTTGAAAAGCCAAACAGGGATGCATTTTATTACGATTTGTTACGGTTTCCTGAGCCGATAGCAATAAATAAGGTGGCAGATGTAAAAATTCTGCAACAGATCGTCCCCCCTGGATATAAATTTTCTGTACAAACATCGGACAGGAGAGACTTCAGAATGGCTTTTTGTCCTGACGAAGGAACAACTGAGAGGTAAATAACACATTGTCCGTTTGATACTGGTTGTATGAAACTCTTTATCTACATATTGTATTTTTAAATCTTAGTTAACTCAAAAATACACGACTCTGATTGGAGGTTGGCCAATTCTGTCCTTAACTGCAGTTAAAAGTTAACTAGTCTTTTACACAACTGGCCCCAGATCTAAAGGTTTGGTTCTTTCCATATCAAACATCTCTGGTGTATGATATTGTTGAAGGTTTATACTGGAAATGGATAATCTATTAATAGACGAACCAAATAACTATGTAGGTCGGCGTGAAACTCCTCCGGCCGCCGCTACGCCGTTACGGCTAATCAGCTTGCTGGATATGCAAGGGATTCCGCCAACTGATTTGCCATTCCCATAACTTCGTATCATCAGAGATGATGTTAGGTCTTTTCTTTCTGCCGCTATGACGTCACGTTTGTATGCTCGCAATCTATTGTGGCAAAACGTCGTTAGGCTCTTTTTTTGGTGATGGTCAACATAATTATTTAACCATGTTTCTCTATAGATACGATGTAAGTTTAGTGGTCACAGCCCTCGACTCGATTTCAGCAATGTCGACTTATGCTTGCTTGCCTCCTGTTGATCCCACGGTTGGTTGCACACCGGACAAGGCGGCTCAATCCGATCCCCGCGGTATTGCCATCAATACTCTTACAATTTCTACCGGGAGCGGTGGAATAAAAGATCTCTATATTGCTGTGGTTGGCTATGGAGACGGGGAGCAGACAAACCACTTCCTTATTGGAGCAACAGTTAAAAAACTTTGATTAATTCCAATATTTCCTTAATTATGACCAATTTTTGTTGTTCAATGATTTTGTACGATTTGTTTCGACATGTGATTCTTTAATTTCTTATAGTGATAGTATTAACTGAGATTTATTACGATGAACGTTTATCGAAATATTTTGTAGACAAAATGCTTCAAAATAACTATAATCCTATATGATATAAAGCTTAGGAATGATAAAATACACTTTGATTCATGCATAGTTAGTTGATTTTGTGGGTTATGCTAAGAACGATCGTTCTACTGATCGGCGAATAGGGTGCGCTATCCACTGAGATTCGACATATACAAGATGTCCCAAAAACCAAAACTATTGAAAATTTGAACTCCCAGTATTGTCAACGGCAAGTGTTCTTATATCACCGCCTGGTGGAAACCATGGGCAAAAAAACGCGTAATAGCATAGGCAGCCTAGAAATCTGTTTATACTCAGTCTTCGACTGCATTGTTTACGCGCGCGGTCAGCTTCTACTGTCTGTACTAATTACTGCATTATACATTATTTATATATATTATATATTTATATATATATAAACAGATTTCTGGGCTGCCTATGGTAATAGTCACCATTTTGTTGGACCTTTCTAGGGCTTTGATAATGTTAACCATACAATCACATTGTACGAGTTAAAATGCGTACCGTAATTACTCGAATAAACGCCTCCCTCGAATAAACGCCGCCCTCGAAATAACGCCGCAGAGACAAGCAAAAATATCATTAAACGCCGCCCTTAAATAAACGCCGCAACCTTTTCGTCATCGCGGCGTTTATTCGAAGTATTTATTTATAACCACAGTTCAATTTTCATATATAATTATATAAATAGAACAGACACATAACTTTTATACTTAGTTTTTTTGGGGACTGATTGTATTGGTTAAATTGGCGTTTAAATTACACAATAGATTCAGAGTTGTTACGAGTTTGCAATAAACGCTTCCCTTGAATAAACGACGCCCTCGAATAAACGCCGCATCTTAATTGCTGAAAATTTAATAAACGCCGCGGCGTTTATTCGAATAATTACGGTATACTAGGCGCGTCTTCATTTGCCATTAAAAGGTTCGAAGGCGTACAAAAAGATGAACTGTTTCCTCAATTAGCGCAATAACCCATGGAGTGCAGCAGGACTCTGTTCTTTCACTATTCTTGTTTGCAATATCCGTTATTCATCTTGTTCAAAGCGTGTTTCGTAGCACTTAAACGGTGAAGTAACAAGTAAGCAAATCCGCCTCTTCGCCATGTTGCTCAAGAAATTCTGGCACTTCAATTTTGTAAAACACTGATTACAATGATATAGTCAATCCATATAATCTGTGATGTTCAAAATGGAATAAATTAAATGGAACTTTTTTCAATTTCGAATCCAATTACTCACAAATTAAAAGTTTAATTAGATTCACGCCATGTCCAACACATTGAAAGACTAATTTGGAGCTAAAATATATGAGCATATTCGATTGATAAATTCAGAGTAAAAATTAACCTGTCCAACTATGATATTTCATTTTCCTTTTTGATAATATACACCTTTTGATTGGAAACTGTTGCCAGTAACGTGAAATCATTGTAGACAACTGAAATTAAAATGGATATAAGATTATTGCTAGATACTATCTTTAACAACTCCACAAGTTGAACACAATGGCTTACAACAAGAAACATGAAGGCGGAAACAACATATGTAACAAATAACATATGCAACAAAACAAGTACAAATTAATTTGTAAAATAAATTATTTGGCCTCAATTTATCAAATTAACACTCGATCCCAATGAAACAATGTGGAGTTCTACAACAAGCTCTTTGATATTACCGACTGTAATTGCCTTGAAAAGGTATTATTGTAAAGGCTGTGTTTATAATGTGTCTGCAGAAAACATTGGCTTCTGTGGTAAATGTAAAAGCTTAAACAGGCTTGAAGATAAGATGTATTGAAGATATTACTTTTTCTTTTATCCTTTTTTATTATGTTTTGTTTGTTTTTTCTTTCTCATGAAAAAGGCAATCAATGGCAATGCCTTGAAACATGAACCATCAACCATACAAGTTTTTCATATATTTAGAACCCAAATACATTTCTTTCAGAAGCACTGTTTTTTAGAGCTGTCTGCATCTACCATGTCATTACCTGAAACTCTCTTACAATTCTGGGAATCATCTGCTGATAAAGGCACCTTAGTAGCATACTGCAGCATTTTTAAAAATATATTCGCAATATTTTCTTCATTCTCAAGATCTCCACCAGACTAAAAAAAGTAAATTTACTTAAAATCCATGGGGACTATATATTAGGCATTTAGTTTTTAGAAATACAATATCTATGGCTTTCCTTTAGAAGCTACTGTAACCTACATAATATATCAACTTACCGCTATAACAGCACCTTCAGAATTCACTACTAAATAACCCATTTGACCTGCAATCCTATCAATCCCTTGAACCATGTTAGCTGCCTGTAAATGTACAAATAGTGAAATAAAACAAGTCCAGTGGAGCATATATGGCCAATGGAGAATTGTGTAAATTTTATAATGTTAACTTTTAAGTATATTAAGTGAAAAACTTGTATGATAAATGTAACACCAAGGGTATGTAGATAAGGGTAAATTTTAAAAAGAATAATTATTGTCAGAGCAATACACCTACAATATACCTAGCAAAGCACAGGACCCTCTCATACTTATCTTCATCAGGTAAAATGCAAAAAAATATAACTTTTTGATGGACAATCTCACCATCAGTTGATCATGTGAAACTAAAGTCATGTTTACATTGCATGCTTTGACCTGGCCTGGAGCAGGCCTAGACCTAGACCTAGATAGGTGTGAACATTGTTTATCTAGCACAATTTTCGTAATGTAAATGGGTTTTACCACGTCCTGATCTATTCCCACTTAATAGTACGATTCATACTAGTATTACAACTTTTCGATGTGTTTTGTGTCTTGTTCCAAGTATTCGGCAATCCGATATCATCAACAAGAAAGACAGTGTGAACGTAGCACATATTACCTAGACTTGTCCTAGACCTGATCCAAGCCAGATCTAGGCCTCTATTTTAAAGCAGCTTAATTAAGTGATGGCTCATGGCTCAGTGACCCTGGGTTAATGACAATGTATAAATATCCAGTAAAAATGATCAATTAATTCATTTATCTATATAGCATTCTAAGGAAGTTTGGAAACAGACATTCAAAAAGCTGCAGAATTTTTTATGGTACTGCATTTTAAATTCCATTTTTTCACATGATTACATTCAGTGCAAAACCAGGTAGAATGTATGAGGTATTGTGTACTTGGCAGATATAAGGGTACAAATTCACGTGATAATACTTACCATATTTGTGTAAAGCTATAAAAACTGTCACAACCCTTCCAAAAACGAGAGGAAATTCAAAAATTTATTTGATTATCGATAAAACGACGATGTATTATTGGTATTCGACAGAATATTCGACAGTGATACTGGCAAGTGTACGTATAATTTTCTTGATCACTGACACTTTGATCACTTTCCTCACTTTCCTGTCACTTTCATGTGTTTCCACTTGCTTGAATTGATTTCCGATCTTTTACCGATCACTTTCTTTTGCCTTTCAATCACGCCAAAAGCCCCTGGGTTCCTGGGTACGAAGTTGCCACGAAGTTGTCATGTGTCAACGATATTACTGACGATATTCTTCACTTTAAAATTTCAAATTATAAAAGTTAAATTAGAGCTGGGCAAATGACTTTCAGGAAAAGCATAACAAAATGTATTAATTCGGAAAAGTGCCTGATGAAATAAAAATTAATATTATTTGTTATATGTTTTGTTTGAAAATTATTTTTTATTCATTCACCTCAGGATAACAATAATCACAATCTATGCACTGAAGCCGAGGCTTGGCATTTGACAATTGACAAAGATGACTTTACAAGAATAAGTCAGAAAACCTTGTTTACAAGTTACCTATTAATAAAAACCTCTCATGATTGGTCAGTTTCTTGGAGCTTTTGAAGTTTTTATAGGCAAGAGGATTTTTAATAGTTATACTATCGTCTATGCAGTATGCATGTCCATGAGCTTCAGCTGATAAATAAACAGAAGAATCGATGTCTGAGTTGACTATCAGCCATATATGACGAGAGCGAATGGTATATATCATTCAGAACTACGACACTGAAAATTTTCTTTTAAGTCTCACCACAAATTCTTAATGTTACTGGCTGTTTTCACTACTAACCGGTATACGAACCAGCATATATGCAGTGAGAAGCTCAGCCAATCAGATTGCGTAACATTCTCATATACAACGGGTTTCTGTATACAGCGAATAGTAATTTTTAACATTCAATGTATGGCGACCCTTCATTTGATTTGACAAAAATTTCTTATTCACTAAAGACAAAGCAGCCACGCGACACACCATGTGTCGCCAAGGAATTAATTGCGGCAATTGCAAAAAACAATTATTGAACGTTTTGCTTCGCTATCATACATTGAAAGAACATTTATAACTATTTAATATTTATAAAGCACTAAACTGTATCAAAGCCGAAGGACATGATGGATGATTGTTTATAATGCATATAACGAAAGTAAGAAACATGAAAACACATGCCAACGATAAAAGTACAAACAGGACCATGCAATGATTTCAAATGTGCTCATATATTATGGGTTACTATTGAACTAATTGAAGCACTTAGTCTTAGCCTTAGATGACAATCGTATATCAGTAATGTTTCAACTCTCTTCCTTTACAAACTATTTATTAATTAGAAGAGTCACTATATACAGTATATATATACGGCCAACCCATGCATGCACTGATGCACATGCAGACACATATATGATAATATGTGTCTTGATATAAAAGTTATAATTTATTCTTTGGATTTGTTTCAGAGTTGGATTTATTAATATTGTCGACTGTTGCCGAATGTCGAATCCTGAACTATTCAAGGCCAATAAAAGGCAATGTTATTTAAAAGAAATTAATGCATTCTTCTGTTTTGAAAGCTAATCCAGCTATTATAATTATTAGATGGGGCATACATTACTGATAAGATGCAACATCACTGAGTGGGAGGAATAATTCCCGGTGAATCTGAATTCAGTAAGAATTGTAAACTACACCACTTCGAATAATTATATGCTGAACTCTGCACTTAAATATGTAGTAATTTAACAAATAAGAATAATATATTTAATTTCGATTTTAATGTTGTAAAATGGCGTGACTAATTTTCGGAAGTTTTTCATAACAGCTAGGGCCGTCATGAATAATCCCAATCTGCTATTGTTAATAAAATTTATATTAATTTTTCCTCCGTTTATTGTCTTTTATTCACAGACAGTGTAAATTCTGACAAATTTCCATGGAAATGACGATTATTCCTAAGCTATGCATGACAAAACCACCACGACACATTTGAAGCCTTTTGTCCGTCAATTACACTGTGACAAATTAGTTGGCATTTGTTTATGCTCTTTGAAAATATCTAAATGTTTCCTCGACAACGACAAAAAAGGATAATGGCCTTCATAATTTTGGCTAGCTCGCAAGGTTTTTGATCAAGGAAGACATTTCACTAATCCAGAAACAAAAACACAGGGCAGCCGATCGAGTAGGAAGTAAAAGTATTTATAGGAACAAATTTTCCTGCAGGAAAAGAAGAAACGCTTTATTCAAGTGAGTAATAAAAATTATTAGGTGCTTGCATTTTTCGTTGGCCTCGTCACCAAGGTTTCTTTCCTAAGAAACGAAGTTGGATTTCTTTCCTTAATCAACTTTAATCCTCCGTGAAATCTCGCACAAAATTCTTGGCATGTTGTTGTCTTGGGGACTAATATAGGCTCGGCATCCAATGATTATAGCACGGACTGTATGATTAAATCTTCTACCAAATAATTTTTCCGGGCTAAGGCAACGTTCGTTGATGACCTGGCTAAAGAAAAGGATTTACAGCCATTTCATTTTGTTCAGGATACATGGAAATCTACTTCCTGCAAGCAATAAGGCTTGTAAATATAAACTGTAGAGACAGTCCTTGCTATAGACGAAGAAATGAAGATTAGATCGGAGAGGTTTTAGCTACTTCCTCACCATCAGATCTCGTACAATCCGGAGAAATAAAACATTTTAGTCAGGAGTATTTTTATTACTTTTGCGAATTCAGAAAATCAAAACCGGCTCTTTGGTTTATGATCAGACCCCTAAATCCTTTTTAATTTAATGCATGGAGAAGAGAGGACAAACGCTTTGCTTTAAAGCATCCATTGAGCCTTAGAGAGTATAGATGGTGGTCGTGTTATCATCCATGCATGCACGATATTCTGCAGGTGAAAGATTCTCTTGGCACTATTGTGCATGTCTATCATTGTATTTAATTTGGCCCAACTTTAACCTAAATAGTAAATTTAACTCGTGCTATAATTCAAGCATTACTACGGTTTTGTTAAAAGTAGTCAGTTTGGAAAACGAAGGTAGTACGGAAGATAGAAGCATACAATTATATTAGGACAAAACTGGGTCGAAGCTAATAACGCCTTTACGAGTCGTGAGAAAGTTAATTTACACTCAAATGAAACGGAAAAAGTTGAATAACCAGCCATAAGCGATTATTCTAATATATTTGCTGCGTTAACGAGTTGCATAGATTTATATGGCCTGTTCCAAATTGTGTATTCTTTGAGGTGCAGAACTAACAACTGATAGCGATGATGTAATTCTAGCAAAATGTGTTTAACTTTTAAAGCTAACATATTTTAGGATTCGTCAACCTCTAATCCTTCCTTTTTGTTATATACATCTATTTTCGTTTTTACATTTTTTCTTTCACATTCGTTTTTTACTAATAATGCTGTACACGTGTCAAGAACGAGATTGCATAGGACTTGTTTGCATTGACGTGACTTTCCCCCATGCAGATGCGAGCAATCAAACAACTTTGTAGTGTTTTCCTCCTTTCATATAAATGGCAACCGAAATTACCGAATAAACTGTGCAGCAATCCTTACATATATAATTTTAGCTTTAAAACTCCAAAGCACTGCCATGTTTGTTGTACCTGACCGTCAAATTAATGAAACCTTTCAATCATGTCATTACAAAGAACTAACAGATAGCCATAATATTCCATAATGCTCAGGCAGACTATAATATTTATTCAACTGATTCTCGTCCCAGTAAGCGCGAAGGGTGATAGTTATTACTTTGCAGGAATAGTTAAGACAATATAGACGACTCGAGAAAAAAAAACACTTTATGACCTTCAGCTCCCAGTGGGTGACAACATATCATCTCTAAAGTTTTGAAAGGACAACCTTTTAAGATGACAATTAGCTTGCATATGCAATGACAATGTCACTCTATAACCGTTATTTCGCAGCATTACGAGTGGCTTTTACTAAAATAAGGCGTGTTATTGCCCAAATAAATATTAAATTTTGGTCATTAATTGCGAATTAATAATATATAATTTAATTTTACATCAAGTTCAATGAAGGTTCTTATTTCTAAAACTTCTACTCTCGAAGATTTTAAACAAAGAAGGTGACAGAAACAAAGAGATGTGCGGAAATAGCATAAAATATAGCAGATTATGCTAATCGTTTGTATAAGATAAAAGCAATATTAAGAATTGTACTTACATCAAAATGTTGTTTCGAAGTCTTGTATGTAAGTAAAGACACATGCGTTGCATCGTTAACTGACAGTAGATGCATAATTGTATATGATGTGTGGAAAGCTTCGGTCTTACTCTGTGAGTTAAAAATACGATCATATAATAAATACATCATTATTACATGTAATAAGAGTATTAAAGCCGTGCTTAATCCATTCTCTTAGGAGCCATTTGACAGTGAAACTACAAAAGACTACAAGATGCCAAAGACCGGTAAGCAATTTGTTAACGACATACCAGCTTTTAACTCAATGTCAGTATATTTATTTAACTTTATCTGATTGTATCCGAGTGATTATATTATTACTGGGCAACCGATTGCTAGGCTGCCTTCATAGGCATTTAAATTAAGAGACAAATGAAACAGACAATAATTAAGCACTATACTTGTACAGTAAAGGGTTACTGATAGCTCATTCTGAAGGTTGGATGGCATTAATTTTGTTATAGTTTAAAATTTAAAGTCAGATGCATGTTGTCAAAGTTATATGACAGCCGTTCCATAATTTTCGTAAAATGATGAAGTTAAGTTCAAGTAGTGATTTGAAAAAAGACGTATGATGAGACTGATGAAACGAGCTATGCGATTGTGCTACATTGATTGAGCATATTTTTGCAGATTGAGTATATTTTTCATATCATGCAGCAATGCCCAACTATACTATCTTTATGTCGTAAAAATTGTCTGTTCGCTTCCATAGAAAGTGATGTAACCTTTTTTGTTTCACCTCAGTCGATTAAAATGTCACTTTTGGTTGTCTTGTCAACAGAAAATTGTAAAAGTTACAGGATTTCCTTTATATGCCTCAGAGAACCATCAGTCAAGCACCTGCATAAAGGCTGTTTTCAAGTTACGCTATTTCGTTCGCACTCACTCCAGCACGTAAAGTTTTTATTCAAGTTTCAATGCCACTTCGTATAACCTAGAGCAAGATTGGTGAATAAGTGAACAGAACGAATCTTGAATGAATTATATCTTTAGCAGAATATAATTATGGCTAAAACATTCGTGCGAGTGCATGTAGTTATGTGAGAACTAATAATTTTTTGTAACTTTATAATTGAGAGCGCAATTAAATTTAATGTTCTGGTGGCAAGCGCATGCTTTCATTGTGTTGATGGGAAATATTCACTATGCAGGAAAAACAAAAAACCCCAGCAAGATTCAACATGTCATTTTGTGAGATGGTTCATCTATTACCAAATGCTATATTTCCTTCAATTCTTCTCTTTGAAATAGGTCCTTATGGAAGCGCTCAATATCTCTCCCACAGCAAACTTCAGTCGCCGTTGACAACCAAGTGGTAAGTGTAACAAAGAGAGTTGCTAACGAGGATCTAAGTACACCCTGACAGAACAAAGACACATCATGCATGTAAATGTGAGATGCTAAGCGAAAAAATACTGACGGCAAACATTTCGTGCCAAACCTTTAGGGATTCTACTTTTTGAAAAGTGCAAAATGGAATAGAAGATTGATATACCGTATACGTATGAACTTAGTCGACGAACCAAATGCAATCATCATGCCAAACTTTTTCTTTTAAACCGATAAATCAATGCCCTTAAAAAGTTTGTGCTGCACACTTATTATCCTTTTAAAATATTATCTGCTATGAAGCGGTCATATGTTATCCTCATGCAGGCTGCTATTATCAATTTATCATAATGATTTTTGACCACTGACTAAAATAGATTCTACTAGGGGCGGTGCATTTGTTCTTAATGGCTCTAGATATGAATTATTTATCTCTCTTCTTGACTGCACGCGAACGCAAGCTTTGATGTAACCAAGTTTTCGAATGGCAGCTATATTGGCCCAGCCTAAATCAACTTTGATGTTGAGAGAGCCTAATGTGCGTCATAAGTTATAGTTGCTAGTAGAAAAGTAATTAGGAAACATAAGTTTCCTCACTTTCTTGGTTTAGAAGTTTGTAACTTTGTAGAACGACGCACGCTTTATTATAATTTTTTATCGTTGCCAACTATTGCGGCAGCCCAGAAATCCCCTCTTTTTTTCTACCTCCCCCCCCGCCAATATTGGTCACTAATGTTTCATCTTATTAATTGTTGTGATGTCGTGAGGACGCATGCGCAGCCATCTGGCGATTTTCATAGTGGTGTTTGAACGCAGGAAAAAAATTTTGGAGAAGAAGAAAGGAAGTCGTTCCGAAGAAATAATGATCAATCTTTTCTAATACTGAAATTATCCCGGCTTCATAATCAGGTTATTGCGTTTAATATGCTGTCCGCCCTGAGTAGTTTGTAAGTGGGAGTCCTATACTAAAGTGAATCAAGTTATAGCAAAAGAATCGTGGGCGATAAGAGGAAGACTTGTGGGGATCTTCGTTTGAGAAAATTATATTTCTTATATTGCACAGTCAACTTAAGGATCCTTCACGTTAAGGCAAAAACCTTGAACACCAGCAGTAAAGAAGTGAAGTCACTGAAGTCGATACTTCCTCATTGACACTGATTAGTTGCTTGTGATGCAATATACTGATAATCATCCATCAATATTGACGAAGCAATAAACTATTAATTTTATTGAAACCAGTGGCGTGTAATCGAAATAAATGAGTGTCTGTCTATAAATAGAGCTTGAAAAGTAAAAATAGCTTGGTCAAGCTTTCTTCGCTTTAAAGTTGCTTAAATCCCATGCAACGCTTTCAATTACACGAAAAAACATTATAAAAACCCGTATTCCTTTGCAAATTGTATTGAGGGAAAAAATATCGGTTGCTAGGAAACGTATCAATCTGAAACGTATGTTGCAAAAAAACTAACAAAAAAATGCATTCAATAAAACAAGTGTATTGTTACTGGCTAGTTTATCCTAAAAAACTTTCCCCCACTATTACTAACAGTCCGGGTTGTTTAACTTAAAGCCAATTACCCTTGGTTACTCTCCTTTCCTGAAAAACATGCATTTGAAGCTTTATGAATCGATAAGCCAGAGAACGTATGGCAAATTAGGCAACGGATGATGTTTTACGGATTACTCATAAACTATAAATGAACACGATGCATAATTTTGCAAACATACCTAGGTTATCGTTATAGATACATAGCTGAATAATTTATTGATGTGCGTTGTACAATTTCAGGCTGAATGAACATTATGAGGTGGCACCGGGTGTTAGTTTACCGCGCAGTTCTCTTTACCAACATTACTTTTCGGATTTTTGTCAAAAAAGCGTTTTAAGTCCAGTCAATGCAGCTAGTTTTGGAAAGGTAGGTTTATAACAACTGAACTTAGTATGTCGCATCAGTTTTCATGTTATTCATGCACACGCATGTCTTACTGCAATCCTATATGACTATATGGTTATATATAAAATCATATTTTTTCCTCTTGCAGATTATTCGTCATAATTTTCCAAATTTGAAAACTAGAAGACTTGGGACCAGAGGACAGTCCAAGTAAGCTTCCGCTGTGATAAACAACCGAGGAAACATTCGTGCAATCACAGTATTAAAAACAATCTGGTGTTTAAAAAAAATGCAATTGCATGGACCCTTAAATTTTCATAAGTCTACGTTGCACAAACAGCAATTTTAAAACCTGTGCCTAACGATGTTTAAATCCTAGCCTAGCCCTAGTTTCGGCCTAAATTTTGGTACGGGCAGGATGTTGACCTGGGCCTCATTCTCAGCCTGAACAAGTATTACGATTGCACTCAAGCTTTGATAATCTACAACTACTTCTTCAGTGGTTGCAACCCGCTGAAATTTAAATTAAGAGCTCAATGAAAATATAGGTGTGAACCTCTGTTCATTGAAATCTAGCCCGAGACCACGCTTATGCCAGGCGTTAAATTGTCTTTGCCAACCCCTCGGACAATTTTAAATTATACATTTTTCTATTTTGAATTATGCAACAAATGTATCTGTATGTAGGTATCATTATTACGGTATAACAATCAAAGAGACTTCGCCTTATCACGACACTTTGTTAAATAATGGAAGACAGGCCACGCAAAAGTAAGTGGGATTAGATCATGCAGTGCGGATAATGTAGCCCCACGCATCAAATCTCTACTGTTATGATCGAATGATCAAAGTTATACTAAAACTAGACTTTTCTCAAGCTACAGGGTTTGGTAGCTGTAGTTTTGGACTGTATGCTATATAGAGGGCAATCGCTCAAGATAGAATTGCGCTAGAATTAGTGCTAACCCCTAATCAATAATAACTTATATAGCTCTATAATTCTATTGAAATGAAAGTAAATAGTATTGAGAATGCAGAACATTCCAAAATAACGATATATTCCATACTGATCACATTTTCTATCTTTAGTTATGCTGCAACTAAGGCCACTGCAACTGTCAAAAATCAGGTACATTTAAGATGCGACCGTTTTTAACGCATACATTAAGCACAAATTGTGTTTATTAAGCAAAACGTTATTTTGTTGCTAGACATATACTTCTGGAAAAAGTTCTAGCTCAAATCAACATTGTCTTATGTCCTCTTCCGGTGGTACCCTCTTGCCTTCGTTTCCAAAGATCGAAACATTAACTTTACCACCAAGTATTCCAAGTGACAAGGTAAGCTGGCAAACAATGGAGGTTATGAAATACGGCACTTGCATTATGTCCAAGCACATGCATGTTACCCAAAACTGAAGGGGAAAGAAGCAATCAAAAGTTCAATTTTCCTACGGCATATGTAACGATATAGCTACCAAAAGAATGAAGTGCTTGCATGCAAATGATGATTAAGATGAAAAATTTTCCATTCATGATCATGTTTTTAGTAGCGTAGATTAGACCATTAAAAATTATGAAGTCTGTGTCAGTATATAATTTGTAGATGCAATTCGTATAAAAAATCCAGGAATAGATTCTATAAAGTGCAAATAAGTCTACAAGTAATTCTGATATATAGATTTAAAATCATTATCGAAATAGTTTTAATTAAATCATTGGTTTTGTCTTCAGGTACGAACATTTTTGATCATGTATCGAGCTCATTGCCAACGTATTTTGGATACAATTCTACGAGCTAATTTTGGAGAGGTATAGTTCTGTTTGATCTCTCGTAAAAATTAAAGCATACAGCTAGTGTATGAAAAGTGGCCAAGTTTGAGAGATTTACAATAATCTTCTCTTAAAACTATATATAGGTTCAAAAATTTTTCATTCATTTCTGGCAAGGAATGCCTGAACACATACTTACGATCCTAAGCTGTCCTGAAGTTATCAAATTGATTGGAGTATGTGACGAAATATTATTTAAGGTAATTTATTATTAATTGCCAGATATGTACGTGCTTTAAATGTCTTTAGGACTGTTTTTTTGCGCACCAGGCGAATTTGTTCACAAAAAGGACGCCTACATGCACTTGTGATTTATTAACTGCAATAATATTCGGGTGGTATTGCCATTCCACCATTTATCATTTAAATTATTTCATCTCTTATCAGGCAATCGGAAGTGTGTTGATTCCTGGAGTTCTCCAACCACTGCCAGCAAGGTTGGTACAAAGACCTCGAAATATCAATATAGCTTCCATAGCTTCTCGTCTCCAGTCGCTTGCAATAGAGACCAGTGGCCGCTTAGGTTGTAATGGGGAAAGGGTGTGACAGCGAAAAACTCCTACAAGCTGTCAGAAGAAAGCACATCTTCATTTCTATATTAATATAATATAGTCCTTCTTTGTGGAGGTAAATTTTATTTTTTTTCTTGCACAATACAGTTTGACGCAAGCAATTCGACAATTTGCTACCCAGTTAAACACATGGTTAGAATCATCGCTTGCTCATTTTCCTGAGAAACTTAAAGAGAAAAAGATAAAAGGTGAATAATTGTATTTGGATTTACTAAAAATCAGTGCTTTTAAAAAGAGATTGAGCGTCCTTCTATGCCTTAGATTAAACCAAGAGAGATCAAGAAAATATTTGACCCGTCTTTAAAAAGAACACTCTTAATGGCTAATGGCCACAGTAAAACTAAAAATCCACTCATTATTATACTGCAAAATTTGTGTCCATCTTAATTTCAGTTGCCAATGTTTTCTCGAAGTCACTTCGCCGTAAAACATCACTGACTCATCTGGCACAAGCAGCGAGAACTGTTCTGCATAGCAGTGAGCCTGTGCTGCAAATGGTAAACGACTGGAGGAGTGTTGATTTTAATAAGATTCTCAAGCAAACGCTGTGGACATTTTCATCTAACCATGAGGACGATTGCCGTGTTATAGAAACATGTAAGGATTAAATAAAATTATGTGATGTTCATAATTTCATCATCATTTCAATCGAGAGTCGAGTAGTTATCATTTCTACGTTTTTTGTTTAGTTCTTCAGCAGTTTACTCAACTTCTTGAACAACAAGCAGCCATCGATCAATATGCGGAATGGGCTAACAATCTTGTTGACACATGCCTTAAGGTGAGTTGATAAAATCTACTAGATTGAATCACTTTACAGTCTTTACTCGATCTTTCGTCGCCTCAGTTGCTAGCAATGCATTGTACCTGACTCAAACTTCGTTAATTTCTCACTTCAAAACGTTACAATAAACACACGCTATTTTTTTGTTTTAGAAATATTTGGATAAGAACTACAACGAAGAAAAAATAAAAGAGCACTCAAGACAATTTCTTTTAAAGTGGTCATTCTTTGGCAATCAAGTAATGCGTGAATTGACATTAAAGAGCGCTCAAAGTTTCGGTAATAAAACTTATATATCTAATAAACATACTAGTGCTTAAGTAAATTCGCTTGCAGGTACACCACGCAAGTATTTCAGTAATACTGCAAAGCTTTTGGTCCGTTACCCGGGCCTTCATCAGTAATAATATTAATACTAGTGATTACAAATTTAGATAATTAAATTCTAGTCGCCTGGATTAAAAAACTCACTTATAAGGTCTGCTCACACGATCCAATTTTGTTGGATCCAATTAGCTTTTGACGTATGAAATATAGTCGGCTATTGGTGAAGCCGTAGTACATTGGCTTCAGTGGATTTGCTGCTGATATACATTACAAGACAACAGACTATAAAACATCCGTCAGAAGTGAATTGGATCCAACAAAATTGGATCGTGTGAACAGACCTATAGGCCTATAGAGTGATTTAGAAAAACCTTTTCGTTAAGTAAACTCATTATCGTAATCTATATGATTGTATGGGAAAATGAGGAAGTAATGATGGATTGCATTTTGCGAGCCTGGCTAATCTTGAGTTATTGCCACTAGCCCAGTGGTTATTGCATGCATGCATCCCCCGCCATTACATTGCAGACTAAATAAATTCTTCTTTGCGCGTGTCAATGTCATATTCATTTCTTATAGTGGGACGCAAAGATAGTATGGTAAAACTGATGCATGCATGTGCCGTAGATTGAGTAATTGAGTATTAGTATTAACATATATTAATATTTGACTCGTTGACTAAAAAACCCTTATTCTGTATAGGTTCGTTTCACTTACTCCATATACTTCTGGAAGATTACATAGTGTATTGTGTTGAGACCAAGATAACTAGTGATCAAACCTCTTACCCGAGTGTTGAGCTCGAAAATAAACAGACGAGTTCCGAGCAACAGAGTCACGGTAAGTTGCATATCTTGCACGTCAGTCCGGATTAGCCATTTGGTTTCTCCTTATTGGCGATATATTTTACCTTATATTGCTTGTCATGATTTGGATACTGGTAAGAATAAGAATTCTTACTAGTTGGTGTGGCAATGAAATGACCGACATTAGCATCACCCACTTGGCCGCATCTGATCGTTTTTAAAAACAAGATGGTGTGAATGCAGACAGAATTTGCATTTGGCGGTTAAGTGCATGTGTCAAACCTGAGCTTTACAATAACGTATAATATTCTGATGGTTGTTATTAGACAAGCTTTCTTTTTAATAGTGCGTACGTAGTTGTCATGCAAATCACCGACAAAAATCTCGAGGGTTGTTAGCCAGTCAAAGTGACACGTATTTCTTTGTTTCAAAGTCATTAACTTTAAAGCTTTGTTACACGATGAGATTTTTAGGAATTTACATAAGTTGTGTGTATGCATTTATACGATAGCCGCAAATACCATAAATGCACAATGTTGTTTTTATTATTAAGAAATAGAAACAACCCATGACGCAGAAATGAAAGAAAATTCAGAGACGCAAGTGGACATGGAACTACCAACCCCTGCCCAATTTCAACAGACACAACCTAAATCCGCAGGAACATGTCCTGATGACAAATTAAATACACCTGTGTCTTCAGTATCTGTCAATCAAACTGGGAACGAAGTAGATGATCGGGACAAAGCAATCAAAATGCTCGGAACTGGTCTCAATATGATGCCTGAAGCACGATCTGAGCTTTACTATAGAGCTAACAACCAAATGAACAATTATCTTCCCGGCAGGAGATTTGGTAGCGTTTCAATGTCACCTTATAGTATGACTAGTCCAGGGCAAAATATGTCTAACTATGAAGCATTCTTTGGATCAATGAACACGGTGCGTTCTTCAGGTGATCTAAAATCATACGCACCGTATATATCACAGAATACCCATTCTTACATTGGGAGGTATGGCCCGCCAAGTATGGTGGCGGCGGGTTCGACAATTTATGCCCGAAATTTTCATCCTTCAACAACCGAGCATTACCGCAATGATCAATTAGCTGGACGAATGAATTATGAGCGACGATTTCAGAATCGTGTCGTAACGGAAACTCCGGCTTCTGTTTTAGGAGGACTTTGATTTGAGCCTTCCTGCCATGCAGAGTATTGATTTAGACGTTATCTCACTACACATTTTTTGTCAGCGGTAAAACCCAAACTTTCATAATGAATACGTTTAGAAAAAGCGACATTCGGTCATTAAAACAGTCTTAGGATACAAACATTTTATAAATATTGATACTTGATAGTGAAATTGATTAGAAATAAATTATTACATTGAAAACGAGGTTTCTTGGCGAAACAGCCTTCATTACATCCTGTAATTTGACGTTCTTCTTTTACTCAGCAATGTACCAAGTGCTGACTCTAAGTTAGAAATCCGTTCATCATACACACTCTTTATGTGGAATAGTTCTTGTGCAAGCTCAGCGTTAGATTTCCTCATCATCTCAAGCTGCATTGTTAATTCCTCAGTGTTCTTCTGGGATCCCCGTCTTACTTCAATTCGCTTCTTCTTCGTTGACATTGTGCGTTTTCTGTCCAATTCAAGTTTTTGACGAGCGTTCGCTTCGATTTTTCCTTTTACTTCAGGGTAGTCTTCAAAAACAGACATCAAGTCTTTTTTGGACAGTTGAAACAAATCCGAGTATCCAACAGATCTAACCGAGGCTGTCCGGCGATTTCCATGCCGCCCTCCTAAATCCAGTATGCTAATTTCACCAAAATAGCTTCCTGGTTGCAAAACACATAAAACATTGCCGCCATCTTCAGAAAGAACTTCCAACTTTCCACGGTTTACAATATACATTTCATGACCCACTTCGCCAGCACGGCAAACAAAATCCCCTGAAGAGATTATTACATATATATAAATATCCAAGATTCAGCTATAGGTTTGGCCCTGAATATATCACTATTCACTAGCTGAAGTTATTAGGGACAATAAGCCCACCAGGCTAACGGGTGATGCTCCAGTAGTCCTAGATTTTGTGCTGAAAGGGGGAATAAAAATGACTGTACCGTTCATTGCCAATAAAAAAAGACCTGTTTAATTAATGGGTCGATACTAACATATTCGTATCATGACCAAACTAACAAAATAACGCCTAGATTATGTTGGTTCAAAAACGACATCAGGGAACCGTCATATAAATTATTCCCTGCATGGTAACCGGACTTTGTCATGGATAAGTGAAATATTACCTGGGGATATTAATTGAGGTTTTAGCCTGAGGACTAATTCACAGAGGAATCCGGCTTCGCAATTCTGAAAAATTTCTACTTTTTTGAGTGAATCCAAATGAACATGGATAGCAATTTCTGCCTTCAGTTTCTGTGGTAAAGCATCTAAAACAGCGTCGTCTCCTGCGTGTTGTTTACTCGACCATAAATAATCAAACCATTTTATTACACGTTCATTCAAGCGTTTGGGAACCTTATGGGTGTACATGTATCTTTTTAACTTATCCATTTTCGTTTGAAAATTCACACGAGCCATTTTGGTGTTTGACACAATGCTACCAACATTTCCAACAATCGTGGCAAAAAGAAGGACACCTGGAAGGAAATTTTTAGCAATATTCACATTCAGTGCTTGCAGTCGCGCTGGGTACGAGGCGTGATTTCTGCCTGCAATTCGTCAAGTTAATATTCAAGGGAAAATACAATGTGAATGCAATTTAAATTTTTATTTCAGCGCTTTTTGGGACACCTTGTGAAAGCGACCCCTGCGGGTTTAGAATACATGTAAGCCATTCAATTATATTTCCAATAGGGTCACTTTCTTTTCCAGGGAAAACCTGTATAGTAGTTTTCTATATACTTTCCTACCCACAAATTAGATATTTTAGACAGATAAACCAGTAATTACACCATGTTCAGTCACTTCAGTGCATTCTTTTCTGAAGGTCATTTTCTCTGTACTCTCTTCATCACACCCTCCCTAGTGCCAAGAATTACTTTTGTTTAATCTAATACTTACTTACCAATGAGATAATCAATTGTCACAAAAGCATATCCAATATTATTTTTTGGATGGGGAACTCCAATCGTGGTCAGAGTCAACGTTGACCAATAAAACGAATATACATATTTCGCAGTTAAAGATAAATAGTCTGAAGTAGAATTCAGGCGATTTCCAGGATGTACCCAACTACTTGAGCCAAGTCCAAGATTTTTTGACAAAAGGTAATATATTGAAGCGTTCCAGTGAATAGCAACGAGGATGAACTGACTAAGTGATGCTAGACGAAAGATATTTGGATATTTTGTACGGCTTTCAAATCTATCGAGAAAATACCAGTATCGATAGAACTTTAACAATCTGTTCAAGCGGCACACTGGATTGTATTCTTTGTTGATGTTAGAGAGTTCGAGCGGTAAAACAGACAAAGCATCTATATAAAAGTTTGGTGATCGTAGATAATGCCAACGAAGTTGCTTTTTGCTTTTCTGAAGTATTCCTTCAAGTAGAAAGCCTGTTCTTGACGCCACAAACATGTCTGCAAGATAAATGACGTCACAAAAGTAGTCTGACATCATCCAATAAGAATTATGTTCCTTGGTTTCGAAGAATGAGATTCTGAAGATTATTGTCCAACAGTTGTAAACAACAGCTCCAGCCACAACGAATAACCAATAGTATAGTGTTGTGCCTAGAAACAGAAACACTCGCCTTTTAGTAATCTTCAAAATATTGCAGGGCTGAGTTTTTTTCGAGTCGATATTTCGTGGAAATTTCCTATGGCTGAGTTTGTCATCTTCCAAATCAGGAAAATGACGTTCGATTATTTAAAGTCCATTCACTCTCTATTAGTGCTTTTTTACGTCACGTGATTAAGTGATTCAGTTGTAACGATTTTGAAAATTGATTAAATTCACTAAACGTCATGCAGAGGTTCTTAAAAACAAGATTGGCAATCCATTTGGACAAACTTCATGAAAATTTAAACGCACATAAATTCATTTGAAATTGATACATTATTATACGAGTGGTTCAGGCGGTCAACATTCCTTTCAAACTTCCCCTCAATAAGTCGATATCCAATTTTAAATAACAGCATACTATACCTGTGGGGTCGAATATTAAATCTTTCTTACTAAAATTGCCAAATTTCCTATCTTGTTCTGCTACTGTCGTTGAAGTTGATTGTACTCCGCCTCCAGATGTCGTTACTTGACTAAGAAACGCCTTCTCTTCTTCTGTATAGTCACGACCCATTCAGATTAATTAAACAATCTTTCCTTGGGTGTAACTTTCACAATGAAAATGATTATAGCAAACTCTTTTATCCTCACAAATTCGTTCAGATCACAACAGAACTTATAAATAGCAGGGAATCGGAAAATAGCTGCATGTCATGCAGTACTTAAGTTTAATCAGATGCAGAACTCCACAGGACATTAGGGCAAACCACAAATCAGTTTACATGCATGGATCTATAACTGCCAGAAAGAAGAGGAGAAACTTCATGTTAAACTCCACTATAGGCTACGTTTTTGTTTAATCCATTGCCAAACAAATTTATTCATCGTATAAAATGTATCCACAAGCTTGCACAACGTCTACAATTTAAGCATGAATCATAAAACAGCATGAATATGGAACAAAATAGAAAATCATTGTGTGTATTTTTAAAGGTCAAAGATGTATGAGGTCGTAAAACCATTAACGTTTGTTAATGAATAGGACTTTTTGAGTATGAACTCCCATTTAGATCTGTCACAACTTAATGATACAAGCATTGATCTTTCAATTGCTAATATACTTTCGCTATTTGGTTAAATCCACATAATAAAACACACAAATCTCTGTCAAACATCGTGTCATTTATATAAAACGTTAGCGTATTATAAAAATTTTATCGACCTTACCTTATAAAAGAGAGATTGATGTCAATCATGTACTTCTAATCTGCAGCTTGTGGGACGCTAACTAGATTGGGAGGGAAGACAAGAACGTCTTAATAAACAAAGTCACCCAGGGGCCGTAAATACACATTTTATGCTAAAACAAATCTTTATAACGGCCATATTTGGGAGCAGTTATGAGTTATAATGTGTTTCATTGAAATTCTATGTAGTCTTACATGCAAAGATCCAGCTCAGGCTATATAAAATTCAACTTGTTTGTAGACCAACTGTCAATAATTTGTCTGTAAATAGATTATTTTCAGTTTTTTAATTTGTCTGCAAATGAGTAATTTTCACTTTTAAAGCAACACTGAGGAGATAATGACATCCTTTCAAATTAGGTCTAACGAAGCAATTTCATCTCTGTGGTGGCCCCTGAACAAGCGTTGTTATAACGCACAAAATCTCGGTTTGACGTCATTATTAACAGAACATCTAAACACATTGGTGAGAACGAATGCTTTATCTAGTTATGCTGTGCATACAGCGTGATAAAGTGGACTGACTTATTAGCTTTTGAATAAATAAAGCCCCCGATTCTTACTAGGGAAATCTGTACGTCGCACAATGAATATTTTCATACGTCCTTTTACATTAATGTCGCCATTGGTTGAGATAAGGGCATGCCATGGCATGTGATTTCTTGGTTTAAACGATAGCTAGCGGGTAGACTGAAAACACTCTATTACTGCGGCAAGTACTGTATATGCGGCATGCAAGTACACTCTACATCCATCCAATGATTACAACATATAATGCAGAAAAACGTGGCAGGCAATCAATCGTCGAGTTTTGGAAATTTGGGACGCCGTGTGGCAAATTGGCCCAGATTAATTGAGGTTCAAACACAGTGATGCGGCTTACTTTTTTTTAGCAGACGAAATCTTAACTCGCTTAATCCTCTGTTAGAGATCCTACCCTATCCTAGTGGCAGGTAATAAATCTTTTCATGTACTAAATACCTAAAAATACAAAAAAGCTAAGATGCCTTGACCAAAGTCCCCCAAGACTTTTTCATACTCCAGAGCAAACCTCTTTCGAGAAAAAGCAAATGTTTCTATATTTATATAACTGCAGTTGGAAACATATATGCAGACACACGGTCAGAGTATTTTAATAATTAATTTATTATATACACAGTTTTGACCGCACTAAACTGACCATTGCTATTGTCCACCTAGTTTCCATGCAAATTTTATAACTTCATGTGCTGAATATGTAATGAATGATTTCTCACTCTTGAATTTTAGGACTTAAAAATTTCATTTCGAAATGATTTCTTTTTATTTATTCTCCCACCCCTTCATCATCCAACAAATGATTTTCTACAACCACTTATCTAATAGGTAGTAGTTTGCAATTGCAGTCATCTTGGTTGATTTTTCAAAATATGAGCACAGAAACAGAAAGAGGAACAGAAAATAAGAATGAAATCAACTCACATGGTTGTCAAACATAGCAGAACCTCACAATTACAACATCAAGCAAAACGGACCGAAATGACATATTATGACGTCATGCAAGTGCGAACAAAGAATATTTATAGTGACATGACAGATGAATCTATATGCGCCAAAATTATGATCCTGTTGCGAATAATTTCACAAGCTTAACCAACTGTACACTGAATGAGCGAAACTAATCATTACGCAGGCATAAATAGTTGTAGCGGAAACATGTTTTGGCAATAAGATGGTTCAAAGCAAACCCTATATGGGTGCCAATTTAGTAAATTATTTGTACAACTTAGCACATGCATAACGAAGCCAACCTTCCTACGGTAGGCTCACAGCATGACTGACCGCAAAGGACAAAATAAACGCGGGTTCCTGCGTCTAAAACCATTTTTGTACAAACGAATGCATTAAATGTTATAGATGAGTGTGACTGCTTCTTGTTTAGCTATCAAAAATAAAAGTAAAATTAGAGAATATTACTATTTCACAATACTACCATTTCTGTCAATAGTATAATAGTATTTAAATAGGCTTAAGGGAGCTCATCGTGGAACGAATATTTTACCATGAAGGAGGACAGCTGTATCTCTGAGGTCTGTTAATTTATATGCATATTCAGATACTTTCTATTTTATACCTAGAAGTATTAGTATTAAATTATTTAGGGTAACTGTGTATCTGTGGCAGCATAAGCGTCAGGGGCTATTTTTAGGAAGACACTGAAAATACCCAACTTACACTCCAACTCCAACTTACCCAACTTACCCTTCAACTTACCCTCCCTCAATACTCGACTACGTTATCTTAAGGCGAAGACGTGGGTACAACAATTATGACATTACAGGGGAAGTGCCAGCGATAGAATCTTAATTAAGGGGGGGAGGTACATATTCATTTAATCAATCTACGCATATAACGGTCTTTTTCAAAACCCTTTGTTTTATGGTATCTGTGTGAACATAAATATATGAATACACCCCCTCCCACCTAGCTTTTAACGCCAACCCCGATTAGGGGAGATGCTCAATCACAAGGCACCGCTATAGTTGGAAACGAGAAAATTGGTGTCTTTGTAATTGTATATAGGAGCATGATTCTGAATTTAATGTCCAAGATATATTCGAAAGCGCCAAAACTGTAATTGAACGTCCTGAGAAACTAAATGAGTTCAGCAACCATGGAGGTATTGTTGGAGGACAAGAAGGTAAATTCGCCGAATTGGCCATGCGAGTACTACATGTTCAAAGACTTTTTCCCAAACCCCATGATGAAGATCCATTCCTTAAAAAATACTCGAATATACATGATGAGGAAGAAGACGTCAGAGAAGAGGAAGTTGTCAAAATATCAGCAAGCATTGCAAGTGTGGAACAGAATATGTTAACAATAGAAGATGTTAACGAACAAAAGAAATCTGGATTCATAAATTTAGATCCTTATGGCAACTGGTACATCCTCTGGCTGTTCATAGTTTCAGTTGGTGTTGGATACAACTATTGGACACTCATTTTACGTGTTGCATTTATTGAAGGCATGGGCAGACATTTTAGAAGCTTTTTCATCCTAGATTATATAATTGATACGATATTTCTACTGGATATCTACATGCAGTCTCGCACAGGATATATGGAAAACGGTGAATTAGTCATCGATGTTTTGAAAACTAGATACCATTATATGAAAACGTTCGGATTCTGGCTTGATTGCCTGAGCATCATACCCCTAGATTTGCTCTATTTAATTTTTGGTGTAAATCCGGTATTTCGGTTAGCGAGACTTCTAAAACTTCATCGTTTCTTGGTTCTTTATGAAAGAATACAGGTGCTCACAAACCAACCAAATTTGTTCAATCTTACTATGCTGCTACATCATGTGTTTTTGATTATCCATTGGGTTTCCTGTGCATATTTCTTGGTATCAAAATACATGGGATATGGATCTGAAGCATGGGTTTATCCTGTACTTGAGGGGGAATGGACCGAGGTTAGGCCATCTGAAAAGTGCATTTATCTGAAAAAAGTTATACATAGTGAAATGCTTGATTGAAGATTGTGAAAAAGTTATCTCCGTTTGTGTCTTCCTTGCAGATTACCCGCCAATATTTCTACTGCTTTTACTTATCAAGTATTACAATGACAATAATTGGAAATTTGCCCAGTCCTACGACTCCGCAGACAATGTTGTTTGTCACCGTTATGTACTTGGCTGGTGTATTGATTTTTGCATTGATTGTTGGAAATGCTTGTGATATGATAACCAGCATGACCATGGAAAGAAATGAGATTCACACAAAGGTTTGTGCACCTCAATACACTTAAACTCTATCCAAGTAAATACCCTGATTTTTAAATATTATTGTCGGTACTTTGTTTTGTTCGAAATCTTTTTTTATCTTTCATTTGTTCTCTTTATTTAAAAATAGCCACCTGCGTAAGGATTACACTGAGAAAAGATGCACTTTTTGGTCCTTTGCAGCCCTGAAAAAGGCCATATTTTGATTTTCGAAACCTAAAAATATTCCAAAGAAGGTTTAAATAAACTTCTACTGATAAACTGGTAAATATTACTATTATTATAAATTTAGCTAAACGATATCAAGCTATACATGCACGCTCATAATGTTCCAGACCAGTTGCAAAAAAGAGTGATAAAATGGTTCGATTACCTCTGGATGGAAAAAATGGATTTGCACGATGAAGATGCATTCAATTGGTTACCAGAAGGATGCAAGGCGGATCTTTTGCTTCATGTTAACTTAACTACACTTAAAAAGGTAAATGCATGGAAATCATAACTGGTACGGAGTTCTCAGAGTTCTTTTTGAGACACCTTGACCATTGTTCCCTTTTCCATCATTCTTTTATACATGCATGCAATTTCAAAAAATACCTAAAAAGGAAAAAAATGTTAACTCTAGGCATTGATTATGGTTGCAGGATCTATAAGACGCCGCTCAGGGAGGAATATCTTATCTATGATTGAAATCGACACATAATTGATGTTTTATATCTATATATCTTCTACACACAGGAATTTTCATATATTTAACCTTATCACGATCTCTTTTGGAAATATTAAGGTCGCAATATTCGAAGACTGTGAGCCATCGTTACTTCGTGATTTAGTAGTTCGCCTAGAGTTGACGCAATGTTGTCCTGGAGACCAAGTATGTTACCAGGGAGAAGTGGGTAATGAGATGTACATCGTGAACAAAGGCTTACTTCGTGTTGAAGTTGATGGCCATGTTGTTGCAACTCTCTCTGCTGGAAATCACTTTGGAGAAATTAGTATACTTGATATCGAAGGTGTTGGAAACCGACGAACAGCATCCATACATTCACTTGGCTTTTCACAGCTTTTTAAACTCAGCAAAAATGATCTTCGGGAGGTTAGTACATTTACTTAGGTTTTCAACTAAGGATAAGCGGTTGAGAATCTTGCTTCCTTAAAATAGCTTCCTTCAGAGAATATTTATCTTGAACTGAATGATAGAAATGAAAAGAAATGATGGAATGAAAAGAAATGGGATACACATGCTAATTGTTGTAAACTTTACAGTTTAACGAAGAGTGGTTTCACGCCATAGCTTGTGAAACTCGCTATTTCTGTGTTCCAACGATAAAAAAACCTGCCCTGCGGCGTGGTAATAAACTGAGTCCTACAGTAAATATCGCAACTTTGTGACCACACGGCAGACTTTTTAATGGAATTAATTTATCATTGGATTTAATTGTATTTCTAGCCCTTCTCACAATAAACGCATATTAAGCGATGATAAATCTACCTGTATAATATTATATTTTAGGTTTTTGAGGACTACCCGGATGCAAGAAGTGAGCTGGAAGGAAAAGCTGTTGTAATTCTGAAGAAAGACGAAGAGCGTAAAAAATCGCTTTGTCCAGGATCTGCCTTAGCAGACGCAAGTATGTTAATAGACTTTGCACACGACAAAGTTTTCGATAGTTTTCATTTTCCTTTTCATGCCAAAACGGTTTCAAACACCGTAATTTACAATAGAAATAAGTTACAGCTATAATTTAACATATTCAACATATTTTCCCTTGAATCATATGGACAGGGCGTCAAAGCGATAAATGATAACGATTTTGAAAACGCTCGAAAACTACGCTCGTGTTTTCTGCAGACCCCCAACAATCCCTATTTCGGTACATTCCACCATGGTCGAATATACCGTTTTTCGGTATATTCGACCATGGTCAAGTGTACCGGAATATGGTATATTTGACCATGGTAAGGTCCATAGTAAGGTTCAATCCAATACCAAAATATGCCGGCATATTCGACCTTGATTTAGAACCAGAACTACATTATGATTACATAAAGTATTATTTTAATTTCACTTATAGGTTGTTTAGTATTCTTGTTTTATTCTACTTATATCATATAGGTTCAATTGATTGGCTGTACGCTGACTCATCAAAATTGTTGGCGCAGATGCGTCAGGTGGAAATGAAGCTGAAGGAAAAGAAGATTAAAAGTTTCAAAGAAAAAGTCAGGCGACAACAAGAAATTAAGAACAGGGTACTCATTAAATCATTTGTAGAACAAAATTCCGGTATGGACCCTGAAATTTGAGGCTTGTAATCATATTTCAACACACTATTGTCTAAAGTCGGGAACGCAAACAAAGAAAATTTATCAGCAGAGACCTAAAATCTATTGTGCTTAAGATTTTTAAGAATATAATTTTAGAATATATTAACTGGTAATCGCCTTTTTTCGATGCACCCAATGCTATACAATGACAATTAACAAGACGGACTGGATTCCTTTCTTTAGCCACAAGTCTCTGCATGTAATAAATTTTTAAACGGGCCATTTGTGGTAGAACTTTAGAATAAGGAATAGCTCGATTTAAACACGAGTCCATAGATGGAGCGATGCCATTCGTCTACACAAACTCAAGCGAAGAAAATGTAATGATGATAATGTGTTAGTTTTTTAACATGGATCATGATCCACCAAGACGAACGATTTGAGGTAAGACATAACTTTAATTTGGTAAGACATAACTTTATGAATATTTGAACAGAGAACACCGGGAACGTTTACACTCATGCCGGACCATGCATAACGATTTAACTAGCGAAATTTTCAGGGTATGAAGATATTTACTATCCACTTAATTAAATTAAGCGTTTTTTATACGTGCGTGTATGCACGGATGACTAAATTGTGTTGAAAACATACTAACAGACTTGCGGTGGAGAAATTCAATTCCGACATCTCATCCATGTTTGTTGTCTGAATCAATTAGTGTCTGCTTGTACTTTGCACATACACCAAACATGTTATTTGTTATCATCGTTTGTCACCCATCTGAACTGCCCTTTGCTGAAATAACCCTGGTCACCGGAGGGTTTTTTCGTAATTCGTTTTTATTCAAAGTTCATAATCGTTCTTAGGTACTAGAATAATAACAAGTCCATGCAATATGTCAGGCTAACATTATCTTGCTCGCCCTCCATAATGGACTTTGTCTTTAGGTTTATTTAGGTAAACTGTTGGACAAAGTTCGATATTCTGTCTAAAAATGTTCGAGCAACAATGCTGTTTACTTGCACGCAGAATGCAAGCAGTTCTATCCCATTGGTCGTACTGAGACATGCCTTAAAAAAGAATCACCCATAACCCATGCTCACTTGCATTACGATTCGGGGACTAGCTGTTTTTTGCAGGGGCTTGGCTATACTATTGCAATGAATACACAAGATATTTAGTACACAACCTTCCGAGGGCTCGATTATAAAAGCCTAACTTCAAAAGAATCAGTTTACTTTAGTCCAGAACGTCGAAGTTCAACTTTAAACAAGTAGTTTAATCTGTAAACATCACGCAATTTTGAGGAAAACAACCGCTCGAGATATTACGTTGACCCACCGGGCTCGAGATGTTACGGAGATCTTATAAACTTTAACGCTTTACGCCTTCTTCCTGCACGTGCTCAATATCTTGACAAACACTTGAAGCACTTACAACGTCCGGCACCTTGTAACACACAGAGCATGCCATATATGGTTGTAATGACGTTGGAGAGAACAACTAGTCCAAAGACAGCTCCAAGTGTACTTGGGATATACTCACGGTATACTTAACGTCAGCAAAACCGCTTTTCGTCTCAATATAAGTATTCGAAATTCGTTTGAAAGCAAAGAACATTTATTAAAGGAGTATATGGGCAATAAAAATCCAGTTTATTTTTATTTTTATTCCTAGTATTTTAAAGAGCTCTTTAAGATATATTGGACGTTTTCTTTTAGATTTGTCATGCTTTGTTTTTGTAGCTTTGTTCGTGAAATGTATTTTGACTGAAACAACAAACTGTCTGTCATCCTTAATTAGTGATTGAAGTTGTAATGACGTCATGTTTGGAGTTAACCGTTAAAGTTGCTTCTAAGCTCTCGTTTCTAAAGTCAAATAGATGTGGCCAAAAAGTATTCATTTCAAATTTAAATTCAAGCATAGTTATCTACGCAGAGAATTGGTGCTGAATTATTCCTCGGCGTGTAAGAAAAATGTTGCGTGATACCACATGCTGCATGCATATCCCATCTAATCAAAGATGGCGGAAATCTACATTGCTTTCAGGCAATATATTGCATGGACCAAGCACGATAGGACAATTGTCAATTCCGATACTCATATACGACTTTGAAAGCTTTTTCGCAATAATCAGCAACAGGAAAACTGATTTTTAACTTTAACTGGCCGTATCTCAGTTGGGTATTATATATATATATATATATATATATTTATTTGACTAGTCCAATATGAACTTGATGATAATATCAATATCACAAAAGCTGCCATGCAAAATGTTATCCAAGACGCAATGATAAAGAATTTTACAATATCAAAGGTTTCTTGACGTAGCTACACTCATGAAAGACAAGTAGTGAGGAGGCTGAAATTAATTTCAGGTTTTTATTTTCGTAACCAATGCTGACTGGTCTGCTGACTTGCTCAATTTCAATTGAAAGCGCCGAAAATTTTACATCAGTTCAACTGGATTCGACTATAATCTTGACATGTATTCAACTTTTCCGGAATGAACGATATCGTGTGAAAATCATCTGAATTTAATTGCTTATCCCCCTTATCCACTGAAGTACCCAGCCATACTGAATAAATGCTCATCTGTTCAGAGGTGGTGTGCAAACCCTAAGATGAGAGTTGGGAGTTCAAATCTCCCTGGAGAGAACATATTTTTCGTTCTCTGCACCGTTATACAGGGTGTCTCAAAAAAACGCAATAGATAAGCGAGAATATATGCGAGAACATTAATACAGCTCTAAAGCGCAATAGATAAGCACCTCTGCCTCTGGGAATTGAAAATGGCTCTTAATCCTTCATTTAAAATGCTAAAAGTCATGTGGTGCAAACCGTATGGTGCAAACTATGGTGCAAACCCGAACAATATTAATATTCTTGCATATTTAGGTGGTTGCGCTTTTTTTTGAGACACCCTGTATTAATATAAATGAATAATTTGTAAAAGTGAGGTTGAGTATTAGTCATAAATTTTAAGACGAGCAGTTATGATTTCTTAATACCGTGAATAGCTATATGCGAGTCGTTAGTATTCCCCGCGTGCATACTTGCACGGTCATACAAAATTGCACCAAACGGTAAATATAATTACAATTACAACAATTAAGTAATTACTTGGAGAAGATATGCGCCGGATGATGTATATAGACCCTTCCCACGTGACGCGGAGTAGCCATCAGGAGCGTAATTAGCTACGTTAACATAGTTTTTGCCAAAAATGTAAAACTGACTACAACGTTAAATGAATCTTTGGAAACCGGAGACAGTGGGCCACATAATCTACAGAATTAACTGGAAAATTTACGTGCAGATTTTATGATTATAGGTGTTGCGTGGAAGAGTAAAAATACATATATAAAATACATATATAAATGATCTTGAACAGTAGCGTAGCCAGCCTGTCGATTTGTCCCGCTATGCTAATATTTTTGCGTTCATGCACTGACTGTGAAAACAATAGTTTTCTAAAGACATGAATAATTATAATAACTCGAAATTTACATAGCGGGACAAAATCGTCAGGCTGGCTACGCCACTGATCTTGAAGCACCCAGTTTATTTTTTGTTGGTCTACCCCCCTCCCCTTCTATAATTTCTGATCATTCAATAGACCTTTTCAGCTGGCATGCAAATTAACCATTTCAGATGTTGTAACCATGGAATAGCCAATAAAACTTAAACATTTCAGACCATGTGACTTGAAATGGCTTAATCAGTGGTTAATTTGCATACAAGCTCAGTGAAAAGGTCTATCAGTTCATCCATAAGTTTGCAAGCTATACTGCATGCTAACGCCCGCCGCACACGAGAGCTATCAGCTGAGCTAACGACCTCGCGAGGCAGTTAACTCAGCCCGAAAACCATCCGCACACGTGAGAAACTTACCTCTTCACGAAAAACTATCCGCACACGAGAAAAACTTGCTGAGCTAACAGCCACGCGAGGTCTTTAGCTCAACTAACTTCGTTCAGACCCTGATTTACAGTATAAACCTCCACCGAGGAACCATCAAGTATATAATATACAAAGAGTGTAAAAGAATGAATATATACATAGCTAGTCATGCTACTTCTATAAATTTATGTTTCTCGGGCAAAAACTCTTTTGGCAGACAAGCCCTTATCATTCATGATGTAGGCAACATCGCAAAGGAAACAGATGTTTTTGTTGAGCCAATATACTCCAACAAACAACTAAGAAACAATATTTAAACTGTTGGATTTTGATAAGGGTTTCAAGATCTTATTCACCGGTATTGGCGGTATAGTTATATAATTAATCCGCGTTAGGCTTAAGGCATAAAGCCTTACACACGCAGTCTAACAACGTTATACGCCTGAGACAAACTTTTGTACTCATACCGCGAGAGATTATTTCTAGCACAAAGAAATTTACTGCGATCTCATTTTTTTATTTAAATGAGACCACGAATTATTGTGGTGACAAATAGTCTTCGATCGTTGTATTAAACCTGCACCGCCTATATCTACATCCTTAGCCTAAAATCCCATGTCCATATATCTCCAACTTAAAAAATGAATTGCTTAGGCTTTTATCAGTTCACCTGTTACCAAATGACTTTGTTTCCGCGTGTCCAATATTGACTCAGTTTTTAAGACTTATATTTGCTTAGTCGGGAGAATTGGTTCAGTTTGAGGGAAAGTCAGTAATCGACTTGTATAGTAAACTGATTTGAAATTTCATTAGCTATATATGCGAAATTAATTGCATGCTCATTGACCAGGTATACGAATTTTAGTCTATATAGAGTATATTAATGGCAACAATACATCATATATCATCATAAACAATTGATGGTTAGAACTTGTTTTAACGGTAAACCATGTTGGGTAATGCTGGATTAATTTTGCTCAGCTTCACATCAAACCTTGTTGAACTATGTTAGCGTTAGTCTTGGTTTGTTAGCCTTATAGTCTCTACTTTAATTAAGTAATATTCAAAATATATAGCCTATAAACTAAAACAACTAGCAGCGACGCTTGCATGCAATGTATAGCACCAAGGTTATCGTAATGAACTTTT